AGTGTATTTTTTTTATCGTATGCAATGTTTGTGTACGAGTGGGTTTTCACAGAACTATATGGATTCCACACTGACGTCAGCGGGGCACAGCTGAAGTAAAGCACCAAAAATTCCGTTGGCAAATAAAAATTTAAATCAAATTGTAACCATTTCTCTCTCTCTCTTTCTCTCTTGTTTTTGCAGGTGGAAAATGTGCGGATGATAGATCGCTACAATACCAAAAATCCCACGGTGGGCACCCTCTATCTGACGGCCACCCATCTGATTTTCGTGGAGCCCGACAGCAACAAGGAGACCTGGGTAAGTGGCCCACTGATGACATCATCAATTACTCCAAGACCCCAACTAAAAACCGCTATTCTTTGTGTGCTAAGAACTTTTTCAGTTAGAGTAGCGAATGTTTATTTGCGTGGCCCACAAAACAGTTTAGTGAGTCACCTTTGTGTTCGCAAATAAGTCTCCTTCTTGCGAACGTGCTCAAATGGGCATTTCTTTTCGGTTTAGCAACGACCTCGCAGCTGTCAAAAAGTTTAAAGCCCATCTCAAAACCGAGTGATGTCTGAGGTCTGCTGCATTTCCGCTTTTTTGCCGAGAATAATTCCGAGGATGAGTGCAGAAAAGTTTCTTTTAACAAGTTCCCCGCATGTTTCTGTGCTTTAAGTTTCATGTTTACCGAAGAATTTAATTCGGCTTTTGCAATCTGGCACGCACAAATGAGAAGTTTGCATAAGCGTGTTGCACATACGCCTCATTGCACACAAACGAATTGAATTCGTTCAGCTTTTGTGTACATTAATTGCGCAGCCAACACAGGCGAACATAGTTCCTTGTTGCTGCGGGAAAACTGTTTAAATTCACTGGGAAAGGGGATGGGAAAGAGACTTGGAAAAGCTGTTGCAGCTTAGCGCACGTCCATTGTGCTGGCCAATGTGATTTGTTAGCCCGCGAGCGCGTTGCGTTCTTTGCAAAATTGAAAGGATAATGTGACAATAGTCGTCCTGAATAGTTAAAAAACCCTGGCTTTGCGCCGGCTTTTAGAGTATATCCCTGACAAGCTTATATCCTTTGACACACGCCGTTTTTAATGCTCAAATCCCAGCACAAGTAAGTGCCACTAAATGCGTTTAATTATGCCATCCGTGTAAGTTACCCACTGCGTATACGTAACGAGGGCTGGCCCGGAAGCAAGCATGCATTGCATTTTAATTGCCTCGCCAAAATTGTATTAATTATGCACTCCGCGGTGCAAGTTGGTGAATCCGAGTGCCACAAGTGGCCCAGGAGCGTAGGATCTCATAATCGCAGTTGAGACGCACTCGTGGGCGCCACAAAAAGTGGTTAATTAAAAGTGAAAACACTTAGCAGCAGAGTGGGAAGAACATCAGAGAGATATCGATTTTTTGTGCCATTGAAAATTGGTTGCTTAGTTTCTCATAATCCAGCTGCTTCGCCTTGCTGCCATTCAGTTGCTCGGTTTTTTTTACTGCCCGCCACTGTGGCGCATCAATTATTTAGTGGCGAAAGCAGTTCTGGCCAGGCACGTAGTTGGGATGTCCCGAAAGGGGGGAGTAAATAAAGTTCAGTTGGGGCTTTGCGAAGCATTGCATAAGAGCAGCCTTGGGCGAAGTCACGGTCATAAGCTGTTCTAGAGTGTTTTACTCACAAATGGAAGCAAAATATAAACCTCAATCATCTAAGTAGCTGGAAAATTAATTCAAATCATACTACCTTAATATACAATTTTAATAGCCACAATAAATTTATTTGAACCCATTTTCCGTTTCCATTTCCTGCCCTATTGCAGGATAAGATACTGTTATATAATACATTTAACTATCTATAGTTTTATTCGAAAGAATTTTAAACTATCAATATTTCGTATATTTAAAAATTAAATTGCAAAATTAAATAAACAATTAACAGTGCATTTTAAAAGACTATTTACTATAACTATAACATAAAGTAATATTATTATGTTTCTTTTCGAGTGCCTTTTTCTACAGAAATAAAATAATTATTTTCTCCATTCACTTTTAGATCCTGCACATGCACGTGGCCAGCATTGAGAAGTTGCCCTTAAGCACAACGGGATCGCCGCTGCTCATTCGCTGCAAGACCTACCTATCGGTCACCTTCGTCATTCCCAAGGACTCCGAGTGCCACGATGTCTACACTTCGCTTTTGAAGCTCTTCCAGCCGGGTAAGAATACATAAAACCATAACAAATCTGTTTGCATATTTATAAAATTACAATCATTTCCCGTGGGCAGTGTCCATCAACAAATTGTATTGCTTCAACTACCAGCCGAACAAGGATGATTTCCCCAAGAACACTGGCTGGGAATACTTTAAGCTGGAGGCCGAGTTCAAGCACATGCTGGTACCCAACGAGGCATGGACCTTGTGCTCCATGAATGAAAAGTACGAGCTGTGCGACACCTATCCGCGTCAGATTTACGTGCCCAAGGAGGCCACCACGCTGATGCTTATTAGTAGTTCGCGATTCCGTTCAAAGGGCCGACTTCCAGCGCTCACCTATCTGCACAACAATAAGGTAAATCAACATAAAAAACTGGAATAACAATTTAAATTATACAATTAAATGATATTGTTATTCATTTAGGCCTCCATCTGCCGCTGCAGCCAGCCCCTGTCCGGATTCAGTGCCCGCTGTCTGGAGGATGAGCAAATGCTAGAGGCCATACGCAAGACAAATTCCAACACGGACTACATGTATGTGGTGGATACACGACCGCGGGTGAGTGTCAAGGGTAATTCCTCCGGGTCTATCATATGCAAATAATCCATTTACGCTGTCTGCAGATTAATGCGATGGCCAACAGAGCCGCCGGCAAGGGATACGAGAACGAGGCTTTCTACGAGAACATCAAATTCCACTTTCTCGGCATCGAGAACATCCACGTCCAGCGCGCCAGTCTGCAGAAAGTGCTGGAGGCCTGCGAACAGAAGTCGCCCACGATGAGCGCCTTCCTAAATGCCCTCGAGTCGTCTGGCTGGCTGAAGCACATTCGCTCCATATTGGACACGTCGAGGTATGAAAACAGACAGGGAAATATGATTATGTCGTCATCTGAATTTGCGTTTTATGATTTCGGTTTTTACTTAGTAACTCTAACTAGGTTTTGGAATTTAATTAAACCTTCATTACCTACTCTTTCAGCTTCATTGCCAACGCTGTGGACAAGGGCGTTTCGGTGGTGGTCCATTGCTCCGACGGTTGGGATCGAACTGCCCAGGTCTGCTCGCTGGCGCAACTCATGCTGAACCCCTACTACCGGACTATCAAAGGCTTCCAGGCGCTGATCGAAAAGGATTGGCTGGCCTTTGGGCACAAGTTCAGCGAGCGTTGCGGCCACATTCAGACGGATGCGCGCGAGGTGTCGCCGATATTCACTCAGTTCCTGGACTGCACCTGGCAGCTAATGCAGCAGCACAGCGAATCCTTTGAATTCAACGAGCGTTTCCTGCTAATTCTCCACGACCACGTGCACTCTTGTCAATTCGGCACCTTTGTGGGCAACTGTGAGAAGGATCGTTTGGATTTGAAGCTGGCCGAGCGTACTTTCTCGCTTTGGGGATTTATGGCCAACCACCTGAACGAGTATATTAACCCGCTGTACAAACCAAATGTGGACGAGGCAATTAAGGCTAATCTGGCACCACAGTGCATCAAGTAAGAATACTGTTGAGGCAGTGGGATCTTATTTAATTTGTACTGTTCTTTGATAGGTTTTGGCGTGGCATGTACAGCCGCTTTGAGAGCGGCATCCATCCGCGGGAGCCGCTGGGCGACCTGCTGCTCGACAGCAAGGAGCACTGTAACTCGTTGGAGGACCATGTGCAGCATCTGACAAAGCGAATAGCCAGCTTCAAGAGTTATATCTCCAAGTCGGCCAAAAAACTGCAAGACGCCACCAGCACCACCGCAAAAGTTAGCAAAGAGGTCTCTAGCAACGAAATAAATGATAACAAGTGAGGAATAAACTTCGGAGTTATACTCCGGTTGTATTAAATGCATCCTGTTAAAAACCTTGTTCTATTGTAGATACAACTACGACAAAAAGCTGAGCGAGCTATCGGCTGCCGACGATGATCATCCGCTGAAGGCCAGCAACATGTCCTTTGCCAATCTGTCGCTGACCGCCGAACAATCAAGTCAGCCGCAAGCGTTGCCCGAGGAAATCAACTCTGTGGCCGTGGACTGGAAGCCAATGCGCAATGTGACCACCTGCTCCTGTTCCACGCCCTTTGATCAGTTCAGCAAAAAGGTAACTAATCAAAGCAACTAAAATATATATAATGAAAATATATATTTTTGATGCTCCAATAGACACATTGCTGGCGCTGTGGGGACATCTTCTGCGAGCGCTGCATAGACAAGAATGTGGCGCTACCAGGACACGACAGTGGAAAGCCGGTGCCTGTGTGCCGAGGGTGCTTCCGACAAATGCAAAAGCAAAGCCCGTAGAGGGAATGAATGGCAGAATTAAAGGATGTTGTTAAGTGATGAGAGGAGCAGGAAATGTGCGATCGGAATGGAAACTCTATTATTTATATTGTGTGTATTTATTGTTGCATTTGTAGCTGTAGCTGCTTATAGAAGCTCATTCAAGTTGTTGCAAATGGAAATCAAAAGAGTAAATCCAAAACAATCCACTAGCGATTGGCTTCCAGGCATCGTCCTAGTCTATAAGTCGGGCACAAAACTGTATTTTGTTGTTAGAATTTAAAGCGACTAATTTGCCAATCACCCCACACAAAAAAAGTACAATTAAATGCAGATTATAAATGTAAAGTACATGTCAGCAAACGGGACCGCTTATTATTTAAAAAATCTATAATTTCCGATGATTATTCGGACAAAGGATGTACAGACATTTGGGCTTAGCCCTCCTTCGTATCAACGGTCCCTGGCATAAAATAATATTCCACTAGCATTAACTTGCAAGACACCCGTAAATTATGAAAACTATTCAAACTTGTTTATCGATTTGATCAAAGTGTAATAAAAATTATTTATTCAACAACTGCGAGTTACCACTGAGCGATCGAAGAAGTCTGATTAGTAGCCAATGTCGGGCTTGATGCGCAGAATGACCGGAACACTGGTGCAGGGCAGGATAGCCACTTCTGTGACCACGGCACTGACCAGCTCCGGGGGCGTAATGTCGTAGTTGAGGTTGAGGGGCATCAGTTTTCCCTTGGCCGACCAATTGTTTAGCTGGCATTTATCTCCGCGCACCAGCTGGTTGGGATCGCTTAGCTCGTTGTAGACGATTGCATCCGTCTGGAAGCGCTCGCTGAACTTGTGCGTCTCGCAGCAGACAAGCACGGGCACATTATGGGCATTGGCCACCAGTGCCACCTGGGCAGTTCCCGTCCGCGCCATTACATAGCCGTTGGCCAGCAGAGCGTGTGCTCCGAGCAGTACTTTGGTGGCTTCCGCCATCACATATCCAACGGCATTGATCAGCACATAGGTGCATGGGATTCCATAAGCGTGCAGACGACGCAACATCTCCTGACCCTCGCATCCGGGTCCGGAATCGACGACAATCACCTTAAAGGCCACCTGGCGCCTTTTTGCCTCCTCGCAGATGAACTGGATGAGCGAGGAGCAGGCAAAGGTCAGCAACACATCGCCATCGGTGATCTTCTCCTGCAGGAAACCGCTTATCGCTTGGGCTGCTTTGCCGATTTGATTCTCTATGTAAGTATCAATGAAGTGGCCGAGGAGTTCTTTAAGCTTTAAATGTAAAGGTTTGAATTAGTAAGGAATGTTTAGCAACAAGCACCACATAAACTCATTTTTATTGATAGACTTACTTCCGTTTCTGGTACATCTGCCGGAAGTTGTGTTAGTTGGTTCTTAAATTGTTTGTATGCATTGGACACGGACACAGCGAGCGGTCGGCATTTGTGCAGGTGGTCTACGTGGTGCTTCACAGCAGCGTCTAAGCTACGACCAAACTCCTTCTTGGCGGGCGTCTCAAAGTCTTGGACCACCTGGCGCAGCGCGTGCAGGAAAGCGATGCACCTGGCATTGGACCCGACCACCGTGCGCATGGCATACTGTACACCCAAACTAGCTATGCTCGGATGCACCAGCGGATCGTTGATAAACTGGCTGTCTCCCTTGGCGCACACCAGGTGATTGAAGAGCTTCACTCGGCATTCTCCGTTTGGTGTGCTCGCTGGACATTTGCTAGGTGAGCTGCTTGTGGCTGCTTTGGTGGGAGAGGCACTCTCCCGCTTCGTCTCCTTGGGAGGAGCGGTGGTAGTAGTCTTGCCAGCAGGCTGCGATTTCTTAGTCTGTCCTTGGGCCTTGGCTGCCCGCTGGGCTTCTTGTACGGCTCGTCGCTCTGCCTTGCTGAGTACTGGTTTCTTCTGTGGAAGATTTGAGATATATATCTTGCAGATAAATATAACTTAATGTGGTCTTACCTTCTCCTGATCTGGATCTGTGGCTGGAAGTGAAACTTTAGCTTTATCCGCCACTTTTAGATCAGCCAACTGTTGTGTGGTGGCTTCCACTTTGGCTCCTGCTCCTTTGCCAGCTTTTTTGGCCGCCTTCTTGGCCTCGCGTTCAGCCTTGATCTGCTCCCGTGACTTTTCACCTGGTTCCGCATCCTTGCCATTTGCCACAGTGGCTGGATCGGCTTTTGGAGCCAGTGAATTTACTTTCTCCTGGGCCTTGGTTGTGGTCGTGGTTGTCAGCTTGGTGGTTATGGTCGTCTGCTCCACTTCGGTGATGATTTTGGTGGCCGGAGGGGCTGAAGTCGATGGCTTATTCTGTTTCTTAGCCTGCTTGGCCAGCTTTTTCGCCTCCCTCTCGGCAATAATTTGGTCTCGTGTCTTCTCCGTGGACCCTCCATCCTGATTTCCGGGCATTGCACTGGCAGAATCGGTGGTTGAGGACTCTGGGGTCGTTAGATTACTATCTTCCAGACGATTTCGTTTGTTGCGCGGTCTATTGCGTTGCCTTTGCTTCTTGTGTTTGGTCTTCAAGATTTGGGCGTCAGTCTAGGGATTTGTCATATATCATTTTGAGTTGATTAAAAAATTTATAAGGTCATTAAAATATGTAGATCCAATACCAAATCAAACGGTGGCCATGCATAATAATAAATAAAATTTTGGCTATATAATAATTTATTTATTTTTACTGAATTGATTAAGGCTAGCTACCTGTGGCACCTGTTCGCTAGTTAAAACCATTTTGAAAGCTTGAAAAGAGGTTGAAAAAGAATGTTAAAGGTTAGAGATTCCCTCTTCTGTAGCGGTGTTTATAATTTCCCGACTGAATCTTGAAGGGTTTGGTTGTCATGAATTGGTGCTAAAATAGCACACAATTTGCACAATATTTCTGCATTTACCTTACTGCCTTTATTATTATTTAAAATAATTTTAAAGTTTTGCTCACGACGGCAAAAAGTCCACCAGCTGATAGTGCTGCGAGCGAATCGATAACTGTTTCGATAGGCAGTGGTAAACACATGGCAAACGTTGCCAGAATTTCGGATACACAATTGCCATTTTTAGAGCTTACTCGAGCAAGCAAGTTGGCATTTCCATAGCTGTCTTTTATTTGTGAGGTTCGTATGTTCGCCTGTCACAGCTGAAAATTACATAATTTTTGCATAAATTGAAATCCTTTAAATTGACCCGCTGCAGCTACCAAATCCACGACTACAATGGCCGACAAAGCTGCTGCTGAGAAACCCGCCGGACGCCCCATGCGCTATCCGTACACTTTCTCGGCGAAGATTGCCCAGTTCCCCATCAAGCATTACATCAAGAACCAGTGGATCTGGCGCTACTACTTCATTGCGGCCGTCGCTTGCGTGCCCGTGTTCTACAAGATCAGCAGATTGGGTGCGTTTCATCCGGACATTCTATTTCAGACCCTTATTAATGGTTTTCTTTTTTCTATCTTTAAGCCAACTCGCCCGAAAACAAGAAGGCATGGGCCGAATCCCAGGCTAAGGAGCATGCCGAACACCACTAGATGTCCAGTAAATTAGTCTTAACTGTTGCATCAACATTTCAGAGCTGTTTGTGTTGGGTTTAACGTGAAATCGGCGAATAAATGATTTGAAAACGGATTGAAATTTATTTTTATTGTAAACTGAACAAATATACTGACTAAATGTTCTCCTAATACGGTCTTACTATGCGGCTATGAAACGACATTAAAGTTCTCTTTAATTAGTATATTTCTCAAATTTTATTTTTTTCGACAAAAAAAAATTAATTTGTAACTGTTTCCTGTCAGTTGTTTTGTATGGCATGCATAGGATATAGTTGTCTCAAACTCGAGATAACAAATTTTAAAATAAATGTAACCGATCGTGCCAATGCAGGCCATAGAATTGTGATAACTGCGAATGTTAAGTCCCCAGCTTTTTATTTAAATCTTCCTAAAAAAAAGTATTTACAGTGGAAATTTTAATGGGGACAATTACTTCTCCGTGTTGAAAACATGTAGCCAGAAATTAGGGTCCCCAAGAAAAAACATATAAATACAAATGTAGACTTTCCAAACTTGTTGTATCCTTTCTTTTAAATTTAATTCTAGAGGCATTACAGTTACTGTGCCGATTTTCATTGTATCCATGCACGTCAACATTACTTCTTTTTAAACTTACTTAATAATACAAATGTGGTCTCATGGCACTCTCTGAAAAGATAAAAGCAAACGATTTTAGACAACGTTAATTATTTATTCTATAAAAGTGATTTTATTACTAAATTTAAATCAAATTGCGGTTTTAATTTAAATCAAGCCATCAAATCCTTTAATTCTTTCATCCGCTCCAAGATATCAGGGCTGATGAACGCGGTGACGTCACAGCTGATTTCTCGCTCCTCCGTCTCCGTATTCCACCGGCCCATTTCGCTGCAAGTAGCCCACTCCTTGGTTGCATTATCGAACTGGATGCGAAAAAACCCGAATTTCGGTGCCACATCCATGAACACATGCAATACCCGTGTCCGGAGATCTACGGTGGCATCTTTGTGCACTGGCCAGCGTCTTTTGTAGGTGAACTCCCCCAAATCGCGGAGCACTTGCTGCACATCAGACTGCAACGTTGGTGATTCTTGGAAAAAAAGGGTTTTAAGCAGAGGACCGCGCAAGTTGCACAGCCCGTCGTCGATCTTGACCAGTGCATCCTGGTAACTCGCACCCTCTACGTATCTTTCAATGCGGCACTTAATTATGTGCTCCAAAGTTAGCGACTCAACGTAATAGAAGCGCTCTAGCTTGCGAAATACAACGTTGCTATGGAGACGAGGAACGGCATCGGGCTTTGAAGCAGGAACCCTAACAGAAACAGTATCAACTTGTTCTTCAATTACCTTTCGGGTGTTGACATTCGTGGCGTCTAGCAGTGCGTTTAGATTACTGGATTCCAGGAGTGTATTGCCAGCGGCGAAGTCCTGCGAGGGCGTGATGTCTGACTCTTCTGGCTGAGGCGTTGTTTTATCCACAGGGTCGGGAGGTTGGTTCGCTCCAGATTCAATTCGCACCATTACAGCCATCGGCAACGCTGGGAACTGGTGCCTTAGCTGCGGAACATTATCGTTTATCAGTTTTATTCGCTTGCTGGGCACTCCATTGTTGGCTGCCAATCGCTTTCCAAGATTCACAGTCCCCTGATGCGCCGACGTGGATGGCCCGCTTGGCAGTTCTAGAGGGGCGGGTGCTTTCAACTCTTCCTCTTTCTCATCTGCAGGTTTTGAGATCGCAAAACAGGAAAAACTCGATCCCTCATTTTGTGTTTCATCCAAGTCAATTATTTGCTCTTCGGACGCAATTGTCTCCCAATCGCAACCATTACTGTTAATGGTTCCGCGTTGCTTGTTTAAAAACGTTGGTTCATTTTTAACCGACACTATTTCCATCGGTGTTGACGTTGAATCAGTTGGAGTTTCTGGCACTTGTGATGCTTCGACGACATCCGTAATTTCCTGGGACATAAGTGGATCGGCTGCTATTTGTGTCGCTTGGGAAAATAGACTTAGGTTTTCCATGTCCACAAAATTCGTTATGTTAAACTGAGTGGGTGGACAACTTGGTTCTTCTGGAAGGGAATCATTGGATTATGCCAATATTTTTTTAGATTTGGGTCAATAACTTAACTTACCTTGAACAATGTCTATAGTAGATGCGATGGAGACTATCTCTGCTGGGCTACCCCCATCCCGACTTTCTACACCACAAAGTGACCCTGAGAAAAAAACAATAATTTTCAAATGCTACATCTGTTATTTGAAACAGCAATAGACTCACTTAATGAAATTTCATCAAGAACACGCTCCTCTACTTCAATCGCGGCGTTTAGTGACTCATCCGTGATCTCAGGTACTTGAGGGATCCACTCATTATGTGTCCAACAGGCTGCATATAATTGATCCCTTTGCTGGAACAACTGCACAACATCATCAATAATCTTTCGGCTATGTTGGGTGTACATCTGTTCAACGATTATGTCGAAATTTGAGTAAATTCCCAATTCCCAAGAGTTTACTATCTTCGGCGATAAACGACCCAGGTCCAGCTTATCTAGCTGTACTCCTTTAATGTGGTGCAGCTGCTTCAAAAAGGGCAATTTGACACCTAGATTTATTGGCCAGTTGCCTAAATTCACGACGTGTTCGTAGCAAAGTTGCAAGTCTTCACTGCTTTCATACAAGCCCTCCCCATTGTGGATACTCGTGTAGTCAGAGAATTCCTGAAGAGTTAGTTGGTAGAGTATACGCCAAAGGGATCTCATGTGACCATTGCTTGTGCAAATCAAGTACTTCAGTTTGTGATCCTATTTGGTGTGGTGAGATGGTCTTTCCTTGTTATGGCTTTTTAAAATGTTGTTACTTACCGGAGTGTTTTCGGCGAAAAATATTTCCTTAGCTTGCTCGAGAAGGATTTGTTTTTCGCTTTTTTGTGCTGACGACGTATTTAATAACGATGTTACACGGTTCTCCCTGCTGCCTTCTGTAACCGTAGATGAGTTTGACTCAATTTCTTTTACCGGGGTTGCGGCCGGTGATTCAGAATTAACAACTCTGCTAGTTGCCACTGAACATGCATTTTCTTCAGGTAACAGGGACTCAGCCCAAGTGTAATCAACCACGTCGATAATTTGTTTGCTGAACAATTGAAAATACATTAATAAGCTTAACAAAATGTGATCAAAAAAACATAATTTACTCACCCATTTAATTCCAACAACCTAGCTGCAAACAAATCGCCCATAGATTGTGTTGAATTGTTCGATAGAGACGGATGCTGGATGTTTAATTGTGGCTCAGCTTCTGACTGATTTTGGGGTTGGGAAATGGGCTCAGCCAATTCTAGGAACTGACTTCGCAGCTCTATAGGAGCAGCATTAAAATTATATTTAAATCGCTTGCGAATCTTATTATCATAGTAAAAGGAGCGGTAATATCGATATAGTATCTTTACACAAGTGGTTTTATTTCCGAGAATATCCTTTTGCTTCTGAAGGCCCTTTTTCCGGTAAGTATGGCTTACCAACTTTTCGATAATTACGTCATAATTTATAGCATGCAAAAATGATAGGAATGAAACAGGAAACCGGTAAAGCACATTAAAAATGGTGTGTTCCGTTAATTCGTAATCTTTATTTGTTAGCTTGGCTATCGCGGCCACTTCCTCATTGGGATGAGTTACTTGGCTGCTGAAATTAATGATATTATATAATGAGATCTGCAAAACTGCACTAGTGTTTACATACCTTTCTGTAGTTGTATTTGTATTACCCCTAGGAATGGAAAACGGGACCTGCCGACTTTCATCCACAGGTTTCTCGGTAGAAGCATTCTCATTTGGACAATCTGTTGGTTTTGGTGGAAAACTAACCAATTTTTTTTGCATTCTAGCTGGGCATGGCTTGAATCGACAAACGAACTTTTCACGCATCTCTGGTGTAGCGTAAAAGCCTTTGTAATAATTCTTTATACACATCTCTTCCGTTTCTCCTTTATACTCATCACATAATTTCATATTGTGAACAATTTCTTTGAGATTGCTCACATGACGTTTAAAAAGTTCAAAAGAAACTGGATATTTCACACCTAATTTTTCGGGTATGCAATCCCTGTGGCTGTCGGGTTCAGTTCCTGGTACAGTCTCCTCTATACCTTCGGTGGCGCACTCGGAAGTCTTGGCCTTGGGCAGCACCCGTCCTGACGAAGACATAGTTGACTGGGGCAGGCTTTGGCTTTGTTCGTCGACAGCCTCCTTGCAGGAATGTGGTGGTTTCTCAGTGGTACCATTCACAATCGGAAAATCTAAGTCCTTTGAATTTTTTTCTTTGTGTTTCGGTGGAAAACTTAGCAACTTCTGTTGCATCTTGGCGGGACATGGCTTAAAGTGACAAATGAACTTTTCTCGCATCTCTGGCGCAGAGTAAAAACCTTTGTAATAGTCCCTTAGACACATCTCCTCGGTTTTCATTTTATGTTCATCGCATAGCTTCATTTGTTTAACGATTTCCATGAGATTGCACACACGACTTTTAAAGAGTTTAAAAGAAACTGGATATTTCACTCCTAATTTTTCGGGTATGCAATCCCCGTGGCAGTCGGGTTCAGTTCCCGGTACAGTCTCTTTTATACCTTCAGTGGCGCACTCGGAAGTCTTGGCCTTGGGCAGCACCCGTCCTGACGAATAAATAGTTGACTGGGGCAGGCTTTGGCTCTGTTCGTCGACAGCCTCCTTGCAGGAATGTGGTGGTTTCTCAGTGGTACCCTTCAAAATCGGAAAATCTAAGTCCTTTGGATTTTTTTCGTTGTGTTTCTGTGGAAAACTTAGCAACTTTATATGCATCTTGGCGGGACATGGCTTAAAGCGACAAACGAACTTCTTCCGCATCTCTGGCACAGAGTAAAAACCTTTGTAATAGTCCCTTAGACACATCTCCTCGGATTTCATTTTATGTTCATCGCATAGCTTCATTTGTTTAACGATTTCCGTGAGATTGCACACCTGACTTTTAAAGAGTTTGAAAGAAACAGGGTATTGTACAACTAATTTCTTGCGAATGTAATTCCCCTGGCAATCGGGTTCCGTTCTTGGTACGGTCTCTTTTATACTTTTAGTGGCGCACTCGGAAGTCTTGGCCTTGGGCAGCACCCGTCCTGACGAATACATAGTTGACTGGGGCAGGCTTTGGCTCTGTTCGTCGACAGCCTCCTTGCAGGAGTGTGGTGGTTTCTCAGTGGTACCCTTCACAATCGGAAAATCTAAGTCCTTTGAATTTTTTTCTTTGTGTTTCGGTGGAAAACTTAGCAACTTCTGTTGCATCTTGGCGGGACATGGCTTAAAGCGACAAACGAACTTCTTCCGCATCTCTGGCACAGAGTAAAAACCTTTGTAATAGTCCCTTAGACACATCTCCTCGGTTTTCATTTTATGTTCATCGCAAAGCTTCATTTTTTTAACGATTTCCGTGATATTGCACACATGACTTTTAAAGAGTTTAAAAGAAACAGGATATTGTACACCTAATTTCTCGCGAATGCAATTCCCCTGGCAATCGGGTTTCGTTCTTGGTACGGTCTCTTTTATACTTTTAGTGGCGGACTCGGAAGTCTTGGCCTTGGGCAGCACCCGTCCTGACGAAGACATAGTTGACTGGGGCAGGCTTTGGCTCTGTTCGTCGACAGCCTCCTTGCAGGAATGTGGTGGTTTCTCATTGGTACCATTCACAATCGTAAAATCTATGTCTGATGATTTTTTTTCTTTGTGTTTCTGTGGAAAACTTAGCAACTTCATATGCATCTTGGCGGGACATGGCTTAAAGCGACAAACGAACTTCTTCCGCATCTCTGGCACAGAGTAAAAACCTTTGTAATAGTCCCTTAGACACATCTCCTCGGTTTTCATTTTATGTTCATCGCATAGCTTCATTTGTTTAACGATTTCCGTGATATTGCACACATGACTTTTAAAGAGTTTAAAAGAAACTGGATATTTCACACCTAATTTTTCGGGTATGTAATCCCCGTGGCAGTCGGGTTCAGTTCCCGGTACAGTCTCTTTTATACCTTCAGTGGCGCACTCGGAAGTCTTGGCCTTGGGCAGCACCCGTCCTGACGAAGACATAGTTGACTGGGACAGGCTTTGGCTCTGTTCGTCGACAGCCTCCTTGCAGGAATGTGGTGGTTTCTCAGTGGTACCCTTCAAAATCGGAAAATCTAAGTCCTTTGGATTTTTTTCGTTGTGTTTCTGTGGAAAACTTAGCAACTTTATATGCATCTTGGCGGGACATGGCTTAAAGCGACAAATGAACTTTTCTCGCATCTCTGGCGCAGAGTAAAAACCTTTGTAATAGTCCCTTAGACACATCTCCTCGGTTTTCATTTCATGTTCATCGCAAAGCTTCATTTTTTTAACGATTTCCGTGAGATTGCACACATGACTTTTAAAGAGTTTAAAAGAAACTGGATATTTGAAACCTGATTTCTGACCTTCAGATTCTTTAGAATCGCACTCGGGAGTCTCAGCTCTGGGCAGTTCACGTACCTGCGAAGACGTAGTTGGCCCGGGTTGGCTTAGACTCTGTTCCTCGGAAATGGCATCGTTGTCTATCCTTTTATGAAGATCCTTGGTGTTGTCAGTGTAACTTTAAAAATATTAAAAGGAACAGTTAAAGAAATACTATGTAGCTTTCGCTACTCACTTCTTGTCATTGGCAACTTTTGCAGCATGCTTCTCTAAAGTCTTGGCTGCCGTTTCATTATGCGGCCTGCCAAACTGAAGGAGCTTCGCCAATGAAGTTGCAGGCTTATCATTAAAAAAGTTGATTTGGCATCGCTTTTCTGGGAACATATAAAACCGGTTGTATAACTTTTTAAGGGTAAGGTGGGCCAACGCCTCATCGACCAAAAGTTTTTCAAAGTCTTCTTTGGTCTTGGTTATCTTGAAAAACACCTTCTTTTGGTTTAGGCTGTTAAGAAAAGTTTTAAAAGATACTGGGAAGACGAATTTCCCTTTTCTGTAAAGAGGACAACGTTGGTTATGGGTTCAGCTTTAAAAGGGTGTCTCTCACCTTTCCACTTCAACTATCACACCATGGGATTCTTCAGGCAGGGTATGTGTTGCGGCTTCCGCTTCGTCATCTACAGCCATATCTTCAGTCTCAGTGTCTGGATCTTTGAGCAATTTATGAAGAACGTGTCGTGGGCAGGGCGCCACCTTAAAAGCATATCTCTTTCGGACGCTGGGATCCCTAAAGAAGGCTTGGTAATACCAGTAGGTCCACTCCTCCTCTGTTTTATTGCTTTCATCCTGGGCTTGCAATTCGCGTGCAATATCCTGCAGGTTGACTATTAGCTTCTTAAATGCTTTGAAAGTTACAGGGTAAGTCATTCTGGTAGAGATTCCTTAAAGCTTGCAGATGATATGAAAGACGCCAAGAAAGCCGCCAAAAATTACTATGTTGAAAATCAGAGGCACCAACAGTGAGACCGTGCAAGAGATTTAGGAAAAATAACACCAAAATTATACGATACCATTATAGTCTAGGCACACTAGCAGGAGATTCGCATCGATAATTGGGGTAACGTTGAGAGGTTTGGACAAGTTCGAGTCTTTTAGATGTTTGTTTTTTAGCAGGGACCGTAAATAATGATTATTTTTATTTAAAAAAATGACTCACTTTTAATAGACCTAGAAAAGAATAATTAACACCAAATTTATTCTTTAATGCATTCTCGCCATGATTTTTATATTGTGGATTTGTTACCTTTTTCTTAGATTAGTTATCAAAAAAAATAACGCTGTTTATTGAAAAAAAGGTACAACATTTTATTTTAATCATTGCCATGTTTATTATATAAATTATAACTATTACGGTCCTGTTTTTTTAATTAAATGTGGGATATAGGAAAGTATAGAAAAATAAGAGCAAAGTTTGCAGAGGGTATTGTAATTTCAGTCAAAAGTAAAAAGTATGTATCACCAGGCGAGTCGATCTAGCCATGTCCGCTCGCCTGTCCGTTTCTACGCAAACAAGTCCCTCAGTTTTAAAGTTATTTTGATAAAACTTTGAAAATGGTCTTTCTGGCGCAGGTTCTATATACATATAAGTCTTAAAGGGCCGTATCAGCCCACTATTTCACATAGCAAATATGCTAGTATTTCTAATATGGACAAAAAATTCCATAAATTTGAGTATATGGAAATTAAAAAACAACGAAGTTAATATTTTATTGCATTTTTTAAAGATAGTATTTAAATAATTTACATTAAATAAATAATAAATATTGTATAAAATTATTTCCTTTTTTTCTTTTCAGAGACTTTAACAGGACAAGAACTGTAATATACAATTTGTATTAGTTAAAAAAGAAAGTGATGTTTACTAGATTCTATTATTTCACTGCCTCTTAAACTTAATTAGTTAGTTCTGCCTATTTTTATAACATACATCTAATGACAGAAAAAGTCGCTGCTCTTACCTATTCGCATAAGCTCCGATGTGTGTTGACAGTATTGAGTAGTATTGTTCAGCCCTCAAAACATACCTAAAACCTATCGATAGTTACGTTTTGGGTCAAACTATCGTGTCTGTGTCATCGCTAAGGGAAATGTTTTGGTGAACCGGCAGGAAAAACGCGGATTATTGTTTTAGTTCTCTGTTTTGTGTATTAAATCAGTAGAGCCGCAACTAAAGATTGTCCTACTACAGCCAGAATTGCGATCTATATGGAAAAATGACAACTTACGTTGGTTTTTGTAAAGTTTTCGTGCGTCAGTAGCGCTTAAAAACGCGACCACGTGAAATCCAGCAACAACAAGTCGGCCGAGACCATGGATTTGTCAGAGTTCTCGGACATCAATATTGATCATCTCCTTGGTTCCACCGCACCGCTCCAAGATGGCTTGGTGGTACCATACAGGCAGGTTCCACTCCCCAAGATTAATGATGATATTCGGACCAGGCGAATCCGGTTGGCCCAGCGGATTGCCCAGAACGACGAGCTGATCCGCCAAATAAAACAGCTTCAGGTCCAGAACAAAAAGCTGGTGGACCTCCAACGCACCGCCCAGGAGGTGACAGATTTGTATCAAAAGGAGAAGCAGCAGCGAACTGAGCTGGAAAAGTCCTGTAGGCAGATTAGCGAGCGTTGCGGGGAATTGGAGAAGGAGCTGGACGCGCAGGTGCTTAACTGCGAAAATTTGCAGGAGAAGCTGCAGGTCAGGGGGTTGCCTGTGGATGCTAAAGATGTGCTGTCCTTGATCATGCAGCTGGCCCAGCGATTGGGTGACGATTGTGGACTGTTGCGGAGGGACCAGAACATCTTAAAGAAACTGAAGGAACACTGCAAGGCGGTGGATATAGTTCTTCCAACGCCAAAGAGTCCCAATCAACGAAGCAAACGGAAAAGCCATCAGCCTGGGGTCAACCAATCTACGCAGACCGACGTGGAACCCGTAATAACTAAGCCCCTTCTTTGTTCTGTGGCTGTGCAGGTGGAGAATCTAATTGAGACCCGCAACCAGGGCACGCAGCACAAAAACACTACCACCACCAGGGGCACTACCACAGCCTCTTTCATTAGGCAGCACGATGTGGGCACCTGCTTTCCGGAACCAAAATCCCTTCCTAATGTGCGGCAGATACTCGATGAAATGCTCTCCTGGCGCGATAATATTGTAATTGAACCGATGAGTACACTGAGTGATCCGCAGGCGGAGTGGGAGGACATACCCACCACAGCGAGTGTGACTACATGTACCACTCTGTGTGATATACACCGGGAGATTGACTTTGTGTCCGAGCTGCCATCGCAAATCAAAGTGTCGGCCTCACGCCCACCCTCGCGAACCATGTTGGACAGTGTGAAGGAGGAGGCCAGGTCCTCCAGGGAGCTCGCGAAGGAGCTGCTCAACTTTCTACCTCAAAACCAAAGCTGCCTGGCCAATCTGCCGCCGCATGCCTTCGAGGAGCTGTGGCAGGTCTTTGGTCAAATGGTGCTGGGCCTGCTGCAAAGGCGCTCCAACCCGACGGTGGCCACGCCGCCCACCGTCAGCCAGGCGGACTTCACAAGCTGGCTGTATGAGCTCTATGAGGGCACGCAGAACCAGACGGAGCAGATCTCGAGTAGTAGCGCCAGCAAGAGAGGTAAAACAGTCAAATACATATCAGTAAGATGGTTAATTCACTCCACATTCGTTTTAGATTTCGCCACTAGCACAGATTGCATGGACGTTGGCACGGATCCCATCATCGAGTCGCCCAACATCAGCCACGGCGGAGATGTTACGCCAATTCGTCTGCCCTCCAAACCCAGAGGACGAAAGACGAAATCTAAAAAGCGCAAAGCGGCTACAATACCAAATCCTACTCCAAAACGAAATTGTTTTGAGAAGGAGCCAGCATGTCAGGAAAAAAATATTGAATCAGAAGAAATAGAGCATGAACAAAAGCCAGAAACGGCAATCCAATTTTTAAGCAAATTGAATAATTTTAACATGGCCAACTGTGATAATCTCGATATGGATTTGGATGAGGAAGAACTGTACCTCCTTCAGCTGACATCCAACGCGAAAGACCAAGTAAATGACAACGAAAACTTGGAGGATGAGGTTCCCGAAGACTTTGAAAGCCCTGCGGAAAATGCTGAGTTCCTACTGCAAGAAAATAAAGAAAAACAACCTATTACTCCAGTCCACAAAGAGAAAGATTTATCTTTAAAAGATGATGACCAAAATAACGCTAGTATAGAACTCTTGCACATACAAGATAAAACTAAAGAGCTTCTGCCTAAAAAACAGTTGGACTCGGAAGTGAATATTTTTAAAGAACCAGAAATCGAGTCAGAAAAAAAAGAGAAGATTATAAAGTTATCACAGGTTGCTACGAACGGAGCGATTCCATCAAATCTATCCACATTTTCCAGTAATTCTGCTGTAAAATCAAATGTGAGGGAAGAAAAATGTTCTGAAGAAATGCTTGATTTGGAACTGAGCACTTGTGAAGTGCGAGAAAAAAAAGCAGAAGTTCCAAACGGAACAGAAAGACTTAATTCACCCTTGCTTAGCAGAGACTCAAATCCTGATAACAGCATAAGGAAAAATGTTGAGAAAGACAACGTGCTGAAATTTAAATCTTGCAATGATCCGGAAAGCCAGTTAAACCAAGAGGATATTTTACCAAGTTTAAATACATCCCTATTCGGAAGTGATTCAGATTTAGAATCCGAAGTGAGCGAAGAGCAGATGAATCCCGAATTTTGTGTATCGGATAATGATTCTGATGATATTAAGGCGGAGTGTGAAATTTCTCATGACCAACCAGATTTCAAAAAGCGGTCCATTTCTTCCTTGTTCGGCAGTGATTCAGATTCAGATGTAAACGAGGAGCATGCACTCAAACTAGAACTAGACCAAAAAGTTCTCAGAAATGAGCCGGATAAATTAAATTTATTTAATTTACCACTATTACAAGATGATACAGACTCTAGTGCTGCAGAAGAGTCACTCTCCAAGGAACAGGCCGATAAGAAAAATGAAAGTGAGGTTAGTCAAGAGCACATGGTTCTTTCGCACTGCCTACCTTCACTCGCCCATGCCGATTTAGTTGCCATAAAGCCACCATTACTTATCGAAAATTTTGGAGTTGTAGTTAACGAACACCAACTGCCCAAAGAGCAAACGAGTTCAAAAGCCACCTCAAACTTAAGTGATGAATCTGAAGATGAGCAGAGTCTGGTTATAGACGAAGAAACCTCCGTTAAACAACCAGAGGAATCACCATTCCCTCGTCCAGTGCCCACTAAAAGAAGAAAAGTACAAAATGAGATCAAAACACTTTCGCCAACTGGAGTAACTCGCTTAACTCGTCAGAGAGCCAAGCAACTTCTTAACGAAGGGAGTGCAGGAAATGGACTATCGCTTGTGGAGCAAATAAGAAATCAGTTAAAAGAAGCATTAACCAAGTCGGAGTCTTCAAAAAACACGAAGCTAGAATTTAAGCCCGTGGAGTCTAACAGACTAATGGCAGAAGAGGCACACACTGAACTGAAACCCATTAAGCAGACCAATACAATCAGCGAAGAGTCTCCAGCCTCTCCCGTTTCCGAACCAACGGAAGATTTTTTCGATCCACCAACCAAAATTCCCTTGGAGCAAGCTGCTTGCAGGCAGCAAGATGGCAAACCCAAGTCGATCCTACAACATGTAATTGACGTGGGGAAAGGGGTCAAAAGGCCTAGCAACACGAAGAAGAAAACTTTAGGAAAATCACAACCTCGACTTTGCTCCGCAATAGGCAAATATCTTCAGGAGACTATGCAACTAGAGTCCACCTGCAGTGACTTGGCCCTGGAGATTTACCAGCTGACCAAAGATGAGGCCGTGATTGTCAACGCCATGATAACGGTAATCTGCAGGATTGGCACCGATGAGCATCCAGTGGAACGCCTGTTGAATGCCTTGAAATATTTTGATTTCACGCAGAGATTTTTGTCTGAGCTGGAAGAGCGGTTGTTCCGGAATACCAAAGAGCGACCGGCCATTGAGTTGGCGCTGAAGTACGTAAATCTTTACTTGAAGGCGGTGTCGCTACAGGCAACGCTGTCGGCGGAATATGAAAATCCCGCAAGGCTACTGCTGGCTAAAATACTGTATCACTTTGACCGGGATATGCCGCCACTAGTGATTGAGCTGTTGCGCCATTTTCCCACGGTCCTCCCACATCGAGAACAGCGGGATTATGATCATTCGGATCCCCTTATCACAGTGATTAAGCATCTACTGATGGGCCGCACGTACGACATGCAGGATCCAGATGGAGCCGAACGGCTGCTGCTATCCAAGCTGCGCTTTGAATACCACTTCCAACCTTTTGAGCCCACCAAACAGCAGGTGCTGGACAACCTGGTGGAAAAGTTAAAGGCCGGCCGACTTGAGCAGCTGGGCTACGCCTTTGCGCTCTTCTGCCGGCGCTCTTCGCATCTCAAGGTGCTGGATAGCGTACTGGGAAAACATTTAATGCCGCTCGCAACCAGTTACTGTGATCTCGCTGCCCAGAACAAGTCATACGATGCCCGGCTCGTGAGTCTGCTGCAGTGCATCTCTTTGGTTCTGAAACCACTGCCCCTAGATACTGATATATCCGCATTCGTGGGGTTCTTGAAACGGCTGCTCGTGGCAGTGCCACGATCTGAAGTTCAACTGCCGGCCGTGCAGGCCTGTCTACGTCTGCAAAGATTCGGATTCACGTACACTTTGGATGCCCTGAAGGACTTCAGGCCCAGCTATCAAATGGATCCGCTAACGAGAGCCATGTTCCGATGCTTTGCGGAGCGGAAAAAGCAGTTCCGTCAAGTAGCTGCTACTAAAAAGGCTTCAAAAGATTAGAGATTCCTTTGTATGAATTGCAACTATTTATTTATGTATGTAATTGTATAGAATTTGAATTAAACTAAATGCCAACTGCGCTGCGAATCTTTACAAATTTCAACTTATAACTAAAATACACAAAACGATTGCACTAAGGTTAGATTGGGGTTAAGTGGGGAATATGATATATGGATTGTACGCAAATGAATGACGGAAACAAAGGAAAGCGTAATCAAAATGTACAAAAGTGCTTAGCATGGATTTGGACAGAAGTAGCTATAGTTAATTAGTGGACTGTACAATAACATTGATCTAGTATGGGGTTTACACACATCAACTGCTTCTACAACTCGAAATGCCTGCAGTATTAGCCGGAACCATCCATCCCATCTGTCGGATGTGAGGTATAAGGTACTTGTGATCTCGGGCCAATCATTCCGACTTCATTTGAGGTCTAGAAGCGTCGCCGGGCAGGGCTCCCAGTTCCAGTCTCCGTCGTAGAGAGCATTCAGTTCATGCTAGATTAGCTTGTTTAGCTGGAATAGTAATGTTTAAATAAGTTCAAAATAAAGATTGATAATATAGTGTCGGTTTCTACCAGCGATCGTCGCTGATGCTCCTTTTCTAATGCAACTTGGGCCTGCTGGGGCGAGAATTTAAGCACCGCCGATATCACCTTGACCAGAGTCTCATTGTTTGTGTTGCCAGTCAGGTACTGAAAAAATATATTTTCAAGTTATTCTCTAACATTAAAACATTTTTTGTTGATATGTGTGTAGGGGATGATTATTCTCTAAAACTTCATCACAAAATATATTACCTGGAACATGATGTTGCGCAAGTATTCAAACTCCGTATTAGCTGGAACAGCCTCGCTGTGCTGCATGGATACCTATCAGCGAACCAAGATAAATTAGTAATTGGATGAAAATATTCACCGCTAATAAAAACTCACCAGTGTTTCATCCAGTTGCCGCGAAAGCTTCGCATTTTGCAGCTTTAGCCGTTCATTGGACTGTTCGAGTATCAGGTAGTTCTCGCATTTTTGCTCCAGGAACAGATTTCGATTCGTAACGTCCTGCACCTCGTTCATAATCTCCTTGAGCTTGGCCTCCAGTTCCGCTTTTTCTCCGGCAGCGGCAGCTTCCTGAACGTTTTTGGGTGCCATGCTGGCCAGGAGTTGCTGGGCCTGAATGCCCGCACGCAAGGCTTCCAATTCGTTGATGCGCTCGGCCATCTGCTGGTTATTCGCCTGCAACTCTTCGATCTCCTGCTGCATATTGGATTCCGCGCCGTCACTCTTGTGCTTCAGATCCTCCAGTTCACGCTGTAGGCGCTCGTTAAGGCTGCGCAGGCTGTCGGAGTCCGATGAGGCGGATGACTGGTCCTTGAGACTGGTCACCTCTTGGTTGAGGCTTTCCACTGTGGCTTGCAGTCTGTTTTGTTCTTCTTGGCTTTTCGTTAGTTCGCTTTGTGTATCCTGGAGTAGCTGCTGCGCTTGGAGGAGATCCTTTTGGACAGCGTCACTCTGATCTGTAACAAAGCTAGCGTGCTCCTTCTGCCGAGTTAACTCGACTGCCTGCTCCTCAATGGCTTTTTTCAGTTCAGAGCATTCCGCCGTTGCTGCCGCACTTTGTGTTTCCTTTTCTGACATTTGGACGGCATGCTGTTCGGCCTTCTCCTGGAGAACATACAATTCGCATTGCAGAGATTTTAGTTTTTCTTTAACTTCCGCGGCTTCAGCCAACTCCTTCTCCAATTGTTTGGTGTGCTTGTTAAGATACTCATTCTCGATTTGGATCTCATCGATTTTGGCTAACTTTTCGGAGGCATCTACCTTGTCCTTTAGTTGACGATCCCTAAGGGCCATGGCTTCTTGGAGCTCCACCACTTGTCGATTTTTCTGGGCCACGGATTCCTTTACTACCTCCCGTTCCTGGCTGTGTTTGATCTTTAACTGATCCATTTCCAATTGCAGAGCATCGTTGGCTTCGTGAAGACGCTCCACATCAGAGTTGGCGGCACTCCAGCGAGCTTCCAAGGTGGCAATCTGTGCGGCAAAGGAAGCACTAGTGGCCTGAATCTTCTCCTGAATGCCCTGTTCTGACTGCTTATGAGAGTCAAGTTGCTCGCGCAGATTGCTGATCGTGGCCTGCAGCTGAGACTCGCTCTCGGTGTTCTGGGCTTCCAATTCGGCGCATCGATCGGCCTGGTCGCTCAACTGCTGTTCCTGTTCCCTCTGACGTTCTCTTAATTCCAACAGTTGTTGTTGCTGTTCCTCCAGATCTCTCTCTAAATTGGCCTTAGCCTGCTGCAGTTCCTCACTGGCCACCTGGATGCAGTCCAGCGTATCTTTGGTCAGCAGCTTGTCTTTCTCGTAGGCATCGCACTTATCCTGCAGCGTACGGTGGTCGTGATCCATTAGCTCTTGGGCATTTTGGAGCTTCGAGTGTTCGTCCAGAACCTGTTGCATCTTTACCTGAATCTTGCCCATCTCATCTTGTTTGGCTTGCAGCTGGGATTCCAAATGATTAGTTTGCTCCTCCAGCAGACAGTTGCGCTCAGCCAACTTAGTATTTTCGCTTTGGATCTCTTCCAGCTTGGCAGCGGTGCGCTCATCTTGGGCACTGCTGTCCACCTGCTCCTGCTGGAGCGACTCGATGTGGGACTCTAGCTTGCGCTTTTCGCGCTCCAGTTCGCTGTGAGAGTCCTGCACCTGCTGCATTTGCGCCTGCATGGTGCCGATCTCCTCTAGAATTCCGGTGACGCGAGTTTGCAACTCCTCCTTCTCGCTCTCCACCTGCCGGGAGTGATTAATTCGATCTGCCAACTCAGATTGCAAAGTTTCCAAACGTGCGCTTTGTTCGCTTGATTTTGCCTGGTGCTGCTCGTGTTGCTTCTTTATCTTGTTTAGCTTGTTGCCGCTGGCTTTCAGTTCCTTTTCCTTGGCCAGAAGGCTAGCCCTACTGGTGGCCAAGTCCTGACTAAGTGCCTCCAACTGGGCTTTCAGAGCAGCCACAGTGTCGCTCTCCGAGTTAGCGTGCTGATCCTGCAGGATTTGAATCTCACGCTGCAGTTGCTCCAGCTTGAGCTTATGCTGTTCTTCCAAAGAGGTTTTCTCTGAACTCAAAGCGGCCAGTGATTCGCGCTCCATTTCCAGGCTTTTTTCCAGTTCAAGAGTATGTTGCTCTCGCTGCGATTGAAGAGTTATTAACTCTTCCCTGGCCTGATCGAGTTGAGCCTCCCAGTCGTTTTGTTGATGGCGCTGGACAATTTCGAGCAACTGATCGTTTTGCAAACGCATGTCCTGCAAACTGTGCTCACTTTCGGTCTGAAGGGCATTTAACTGTTTCTCCAAGGAAGAAGATTGCTCTTCTTTAGCCGAGAGTGCGGCTTGAAGAGCATTCAAACTGAGTTCTGTTGAGAGAAATTTGGCTTCGGCTTCATTCTTGGCTGCTTCCAGGTTAACTAGTTTTTCCTGGACATCAGTAAATTTAGACTCGCAATGTTCGTTGACCTGGCGCAATTTCAATAAATTTGATTCGTGTTCCTCGGTAACAGTTTTTAGATTTTTCTCCAATTTAGCCAGCTGTTCTTCTTTTGTCTTGTGATCGTTCCGAAGTGTATTCAAAAGTTCTTCTGTGTTTAATAGCTTCGATTCAGCTTCCTCCTTGGCGGCTTGTAGTTTCCTTAGCTGATCGTGTGCTTCGCTGTTTTGAGACGTGCTAGCTTCTTTGCTTTGTCGAAGTTCGTCCAAGTTAGTTTCGTTTCTCTTTTTCAGAATATCCAACTGCTCTTCCAGATTCTTCAACTGTTGATCCTTGGCTGAGGTTTCGCTTCTAAGAGATTCCAAAAGTTGCTCCTTGGTCGATAGCTGCGATTCGGCTTCCTTTTTGGCTGACTGCAGTTTTTGCAACTGTTCGTTTGAATCGCTTGCTTGGTTTTCACGATCTTCGTTCTGCTGTTGCAGATCCTTTAATTTTTGCTCGCTTTCCGTTTTAATGGTTTCCAGTTGTTTCTCGAGGGCAGCCACCTGTTGCTCCTTGGTTGCATAGTTTCCTTTCAGGGAGTTTAGCAAGTGCTCTGTGGCCATCAGTTTGGCATCGACTTCCTGCTTGGTGGCCTGGAGTTTTCTAAACTGTTCCTTGGCTTCGTTGCTGTGGGATTCTCGCTGAGACTCCAACTGCTTGAGCTTCTCCTGCAGCTGACGCACCTCGTTGTCCTTGTGCTCCAATTCCGTGTGGATAGCCTGCTTTGTCTGGGCTAGCAGCAGGACATTCTCCTCTTCCTGCTTTCGGAGCGCATCGTACTTTTCCGTCACATCTTTAAGTTGCGCTTCTCGCTCTTTAAGTAATAGCTGGAGATTAGAGGCATCTTCACTGGAACCACCATTTTCAGGAGGTGCCGATTTGCCGGTCGACTCATCTAGGTCGATGAGCTGCTCCGTGTCCAGCAAATGGCCGCTTCGCTCCAGAGCAGCAGTAATATTTTCCGGATTTTCGCCGAGCAGCTGGAGTTTCGTCTGATACGCCTGCATCTTGCAGCTCATGTCGTCCATCTCGATGCGTAGCGCCTCCTCCAGATGCGCCTTGGCCTGCTGCTCCAGAGTGCACTGTTCCCTCAGCTCGCTTATACGGCGCAGCGCTTTGTCTTGCGTCTCCACCAGCACCGACTGCAAAGCGATTTTATCGAAAACATAAGTTACATTGGGTTTATCAGTAGGACCGATAAGATAGACAGATAGATACCCTCGCCTTGGAACTGTCGCGCTCCAATTCTTTGTACTTTTTGGCCAAATCCGTGTAGCGACAGCGGTACTTGTGATAGCGATCCAGGGACTTCTTATACGCATCGTAAAGCTGGTCCTTGGTGATCACATCCAGCCGTGCCGTCGAGGCAGAGTCGTCGAACTCGCTGCTCGTCTCGTCCAGATCCGATTGCAAGTGGTACACCTGAATTTTATTTAATGAATAGGGGTTTTTTTAATGCCATTAAATACTTACGGCTGGCGCTTCATAGGTGGGCAGGCGGAAGGACACATCGCTGGCCATCGACGAGTTGGACAGCTTGCGGGTCCTGGAGGTGGCGCCATTCAGGGATTGGGTCGAGCGTCCTCGTAGAGAAGATGCACTTGTGGCCGGCAGTTTCTGGATGCGATAAGGCGAGTTCTGAGGCGTGTCTGTGGGGGTGGCAAAGATATGAATGCTTGATAACGAGCTCCTAGTGACTCATGGAATACCCACCCTCTTCCGTGATGCTGAAGAAGTTCTCAGTGTTGCTGGTGTTCGTGTCCGAATTGGGTGTTGTGCTCGACGATGAGCTCACGGCGGCCTAGAAAAAAGACCAAAGCCATGAGCAGCTGGTCACTTCACTTGTCTGTCGAGAAATGGGTCACAATTGCACTATTTCCGACCCCTTCCCAGCATTACAAGCACACAAACAATCATGTCGGTGTGCGTATGTTTTCCTTAATTTGCATTTTTCATCCGCACACCTCCCCCGCACCAACCCTAAAATACCTGTGCAGCATTCGCAAATTGCTGGAATTTCGACGGCGACGCCTTCACCTCTTCAATCAGTTTATTTTTTAGGTTGGCAAACATTTCGAGGCTCGGTTGCGCTATTTATCAACTGCCTGCGCTTCCTGGTTCAAGCACTATTTAATTTTTAATTAAAAAACATCTAAATAAATACGTGTCTGCAGATGTTTCTCCAATGGTCACACTGCCGATAAGCGCATGTGTTATCGATAACAAACAAAAAAAACTTCTTAACGGGGTAAACAGTTGGTGACGAACGCATCCTAAAGACCCAACAATTACATTACCAAATTTTTTTTGGATAAAAATTGCTATTTATTAGAAATATATTTTTGTACATACATTTTGTTGCTTTTAATATAGCATGCTTCTGGAAAATATTTTGGTAAACACATGGAATCATTCCACCAGGGATGTTTTACAGTGAATAATTAATTTATAATGGCAGTAAATAAGTTATTATTTTTCATAAAAGTATCTATTAAAAATATAACAATTGTTTTGGACCTTTTTTTTTAACATGAGCAGTAATTTGTATTTGGTGTGATTTGTCTCCTACGTGGACGCCTGTTCATTGTTGCAAGCCAGTTTCGGCAGGTGGCGCCGGTAAGCCAAAGTAAACATCGAAAATCCGTTAAATTTTAATCTTGTTTACTCCCATAGTAAAACCTGTCGTTCGCCCTTTGAATTCTTTATATTTCTGTTCATGTATAGAAAGTCTTTGCATTCCAGTTTTTCCATCAACACTATTAATTGTTTACCCGCTCAAAACTGAATGAAAGCTGAACGAGTTTGCTAATTAAGCAATGATTTTGCATTTTTATTAGTCGCTGTGTTTGGGGAATATATATTTGGAGGGGGTTTTCAGGGGTTACTGATTCCCAAACAAGAGCTAACTCAAATAAACAATATTCTTGTGAATCACATTATACCTTGCTCTAATTTATAAAAAAAATCTGCAGTTCAAATAAAGCTGGTATCTTTTTGCACTTGGAAAAAATAAAAATGATAGTATTAATTAAACACCTAATATTTCATTTGGGAGTAGATATTTGTTATTCCTCTACAAGTTTTACTGGTTGTAAGCCCCTGACCAAATCTATTAACATCAAGAACCAGTTGGAGCACGAGCCACTGATGTGCTTCCGAGCTATCATCTATTACAGTAAGATTTATGTCCAAATAAGCCTTTAAAATATGGGTGTTTTATTGATGCGGTATTCAAATACATTAAACATTTTTTGGATCAGTACACAGTGAGCAGTTGGGGAAATACAAAAGAGAGTGAAATGCAGTTAAGTAAATGTCTCGAGTTAGCACATCTGTGTGGTCACTTTCTCCCGCAGATTCCCATCTCACTTGTGCAGGTTGTCGAGGAACTCCTTGTGACGCTGAATGGCCTCCTCGTGCTCCTTGATCTGCTGATGATGGAACTCAGCCTGGTGAATCTGGTCGTTCTTCAGGCGATCCAGCTGCTCCCTTTGCTGCAAAAAAGCAAAACAAAAAGAAATTTGTGATTAGCCGGTGGAGAAAACAATTAGCAATAGCAAGTCGTAAAAAAACTAATTACGGGTTAGCTAAGCCCGCCCACACTTGGAGCGTCTCATCAATAATGGACTGTCATTATTAGCTGCCAGTCATATAAGAGGCTTTGGTCTAAGCTGTTCCCAAACGCAAACAATTCCACCTTTTTAGACAACGTATAAGATCAAATATTTGGTTAACAATTTTAGCACGAACCTGTCACACGGACCCACAAAAAATGTAAATATCGCTTTGGAGACCAAGAAACGGGCAACATAATAAAGAAGGTGTGCGAAAAAAGACCGGGGGAAAACCACTTGCCAGTGAACCTGAATCAGCCTCTATAACAACATTGCTTGCCGTTCTGTCTGCTCATCTTCTGCCGCCCAGAAAAGCCTGTTTTCAGTTGATAGTTGGCTTCCGTTGAGAAACGACGAAGAAAGTGTTGGCTAATCGGGGTCACCGTATTAAATTATTGCGCGTTCTAGGCCGCATCTGGCCAAATATCAATAAAGTTAACACTGTTAATTGGCCGTCGACATCTAGACAAAGCCGATCCGCGTACCACTCTCTTCAATCTCCGCCAGCGGCTCTCTTCCACTTATCAGGCCCCAAAAAACCAACTTGGTTGATAAGCAACTGCCCCTAGTTCGACCAGAACACTTTGAGTCGGACTCTGCTGCGGAATGGAGCCCTTCCTGATTTTGTGTTTTTCCCTGTCATTGACCCTTGCCCAGGGTTATGGCCCTGGAATTGGAGGATCGCGTCCCGTGCGCACTGTGGAAACGATGACGCAGTGGCGCCAGCTGGAGTACGGCTTTCCCACGGCCCAGGATCGGGAGAACGCCCAGTCGGCGGGTAATCTGGTGCCGGAGAATGGTACCCCCATCGATGTTCAGGCGCAATATATGAACAATGGCAAGACTAGGCTGTTCACCACCATTCCACGGTTCGCCACCGGTATTCCTTACACACTGGCCACCGTTTCCGAGACGCAGGCCAGGAATGGTCCACTTCTGCAGCCGTATCCTGGCTACTCGTGGCATAATGGCAACGGCGAGAACTGCGATCTCATTACCTCTGCCTTTAGGGTGGCTGTAAGTTGGAATTTATTACAGATTGAACGAGATATTCTAGGGATTAAATCACTTCCAGATAACCGAGTGTAACCAGTTGTGGGTCATTGATTCGGGTGTAATTGGCACCACCCAGTACTGTCCGCCGCAGTTGCTCCAGTTTGACCTAAGTACCGATCGCCTGCTGCATCGCTACCGCTTCCCGAACAACACTTACATCGCCAGTGGCTCCCTTTTCATCACGCCGAATGTTCTGGTGCATGATCCGCCGCCTAGGGGCTCTTGCAGTCGCACAATGATCTATGTGGCCGATGTGAGTTATCACGGCTTGGTGGTTTACGATCACCAGGCGCAGACCTCCTGGCGTGCAGAGAACCGCTTCATGTACCCCGATCCCGATTACGGCCACCACACTATCGCCGGCGAGAGCTTCAATCTGATGGATGGCATGTTCGCGCTCAACAATGACAAGCGCAATCTGTACTTCCATCCGTTGGCCAGTGCCAGTGAGTATTCCGTGCCATTGAGTGCGCTGAATAGGCAGGAGAATTGGGCCAATGGACCGGAAGCATTGCCGGAGCAGTTCACCCTGCTGGGCAGGCGGAGGAGCGAATGCGCCGCATCCGCCATCGATGGCAGGAACAACGTCTACTGCGTCACCTTCAATCCCATCAAGCTTTTTGTCTGGAACGTGAATACGCCTTATAATTCACGAAGCTTCGGCAATCTGCCTGCCAAGTCAGAGGACCTACAGTTTGTGAGCGGCATGAAGGTGGTCCGGAACTCCGATGGACAGGAGGAACTCTGGATGCTTTCCAATCGCTATCAGGTGGGACTGAACATGCAGAATTATGTGTAATATTAAACCTATCTTTCTTCCTTTAGAAAATCGCCGCCGGTACGATAAAATCCAACGAGGTTAACTTCCGCATTTTGCGACGCAAGTTGGATGACGTCCAAGGAGGCGTTTTCTTTTCAAACGATGACGATCTAACCAATCGTCTGGTGTTTAGCTAGTGATTTACTAAACCAACAAAATAAATATATGTAAATATTTGTATGGTTTATTGGGTGAAAATTCCATGTGGGTAAGTAGGAAACGCAATACTACGGGAATTTTATTATCGCCCTATTCTTGAGTTGTAAATTATGTAATTGGAAACAATATGCAAACATTTACATTTTTTGTGTAAAACTCTTTTCATGAAACAGCTAAAATGGACTACTGCCGATAAGATTGGTTTATATAATCAAAGATGCTTGTTAAATGTAAATTTTCTAATTTCTTTAAAAAACTACGAAAAGTCGAGTTTATTTGAAACGACTTAATAAGTTAATTTTTTTTTTCTAAAAACAAATTATTTAAAGTTTAATTTACAGTTTTCTTTAAATTTACGTTTTTTAAAACGACTTGTTAAAAATCAGAAGATAACAGCTGAAATAATATACAAATGCGTGTGTATGACTCAAATGAAAGCAAGTGATTAGTTTCGGAAACATAAATATTTGGTTTTGGTTCCATCTTAAATAATTTAAGCTGGACTATATGCGTTCATTACGTTTACGTTTGAATTTCTTGGGGCATACAAATTGAGGCAAAGTTCGGGGTCACTGTTATCGCCAGATGATTGTCAAGTCTATAATCTCAAGCAACAACTAAGAGCCATATGAGTCCCACGCGGGTTTGGGAGCCTGAATGTCTTGAGATTACACTTGATTTGTCACTACCAACTGACCTTAACCGATTCGGGCTTCTGACGACAATTGCGATTTGTTACCATCAACGCTTGGGACTGGATTGCGAACTAAATTGTATTGACTGGATAATTTATAACACTTAATGGGGCGATGAACTGATCAATCGCACCAAATGGGTGGCGTGCATAATTAGCCAACACAAGCAACTTGTTTTCCGAGGTGGACACCAGTAAACAAACTGCCACGGCTCGACCAGAATTTCAGTGCACAACATTTTGTGTGTGCAATTAAACCAGTTACAAAAGCTGACCCGCTTAGCCTGCCGAGTGGCTGGCTGGATTAGAAAGACATGGGCCAGCGGACCGTCGCGCATGCGCAGTATCCGCTTGGACTTTAAGTGGTATAGTCGGCGCGAAAGTGAAAGGATTGCGACATGCTGCGTTTGATCCTAATTGCAGCCTGCTCTGTCTGTTGGCTAGCTGCATCTACCCAGACCTTGGAAAGTGTTTTTGGAGCCTACAACCTTGAGCTCGAGTTCCCATCGCCGCAAGAAAGGGCGCGAGCGATTAAGGAAGGCCTTTATGATCCAGGCAGCGTGATCCCCATCGATGTGGATGTTTACTACAAACGTGAGAGTTATTTTCTCGTCTTAAAAAGCTTCCTTAACATGATATATTTTAGATGGCGATGCCACGCCCTCGATTTTTGTGACCATTCCGCGTTTTGCCAAGGGTGTGCCCTACTCCCTGGCCTACGTCTCAAACGAAATGCGTCCGAATGGCACCCTTCTACAGGCTTATCCCAGCTACGAATGGCACAGATCTCATGGAGCTGATTGCAATGGCTTGACTTCTGTATACCGGACGCATATAGACGAATGTGGACGGATATGGATTCTGGACAGTGGTGAGATTGACTTCATCCAGCACTGTCCGCCGCAGCTGTACGCCATTGACTTGGAGAGCGGGAAAGTTGTCCATCAGTACAAAATGCCAAAGCGACTGTATAAGGAGGGCGTGAGTCGTTTTGTCACGCCCACCGTCGAATTGGATCCCCAAAACTGCAATGTGGGATTCGTGTACATGGCGGACTCCATTGGGGATGGAATTGTGGTGTACGATGTGGCCGCCCAGCAGTCGTGGCGGATTGAGAACAAATTTACGTATCCTCATCCTGACTTTGGAACTTTCACCATAGCCGGTGAGAGCTTCCAACTGTGGGATGGCACTGTGTCGACCACTCTTACACCCCACGGATTAGATGGCCGACGGATGATGTACTTCCACTCGCTGTCAAGTGAATGGCAGATGGCCATCCCGTTGGATGTGGTCAACAATGGCAGCAACTGGCGGCTGAACGATGTGAGCGCCGCCCTTGATCAGTTCCAGGTGTTGGGAAAGCGAGGAAGTCAGTGCGTGGGAGCGGCCATGAGCGAGTCCGGTTTTCTGATCTGCGGCCTCGTTCATCCAGCTAGCATTTTGGCCTGGAACATCCGCACTGCGTACACCCATCAAAATCTGGTGATGCTTGTAGAGGATGAGCAGCGTTTGCAGTTCGCCAGCGGCTTAAAAATCGTGCGGAACCACGAGGGCAAAGAGGAGCTATGGGTCCTGTCGAATCGGCTGCAGAAAGCCTTTGGCGCGGGATTGGATTTCAAGGAGATCAACTTTCGCATACAAAAGTGTGGGGTTGAGGAGCTGCTCAGCGGCAGACCGTGCTACTAATTCTGCTGCTCAATAAAGCTATTGAATGATGAAATGGGCTGTTCTTTGGGTTCACTCACCTTCTTGTAGAAGTACTCCTCCTCGCGGGCAGCCTCAAGTTTGCCGAAAGCTCCGCCAGCTTCGCGGATGGAGCCGCCGCCGCCGCCACCTCTGCCGGCGCCACTGCCAAGGTCGCCCACCTGGCTGCCGCTCATCTTGGCCAGCCTGCAAAACGGGAAAAGCGGAACTTATAAAATCTTCTTTCGGCTTTGTTAAGTTACGCAACAGTTAAGTGAAGTCAGCATAGAATTTACACACACACACGCGCAAAGTGAAAGCGATTTCGATGGGATCGAAGTAGCTTATCTTATCACACATTGAGGAAAATGGAAGTGCGAGACATACATAACACTTCATGTTTAATGAAATTTAGTATTAGGAACTCTTCTAATTTTGTAAACCGTTTCACAGGTTTATAAATTATATATATATATATATTACTCACTGCATTCCAGCGGGATACAGGCGGGCTGCGCTACGACGTATAACGAACATTCTGATTGGTTTTAAGGTAGATATACTGCAAAGAAGCAATAATATAAAAGTTGTTAAATTAAGTCTTCTATAATAAACTGAAGCTAACTGTAAAACTGCCGCTTCAAAATGCCGAGTGCATTCAACTTTTCAAAACAGCCAAGACGCAATAAAACACAGATATTTTTAGCTTTTTCTTTGTTTTTGTTTGCGTAAAATATACCCTACATTGGCAAAGAGTATCTATACGCAATTAATGCCGAAATAATGCGGAGCGGTTGAACTTTACTTACTTGTTTTTTGCGCGACGAAAGTTTATAGAGGTGGATGATCCTCGATTCCAGCATTGGTAATATCGATGTTTGACAACTCATCATCGATATTTTTCCATCTCTAACAGGTATTGAAGCAAAAAGTCATTTGAACTTCAATGAGCGCTTAAGTAATTCGGCCGAGCTGGCATCACGGAACTTGATAGCTCGATAAGTTCCGATAAGGCTTTCGAATATCTTTAAAAAATTCGAATATAAATTTAATTTGTAATTTATATTTTTTATCGCGAACATTTTTGATTAAATACATACCCATTATGGTGGTAAAATCGAATTTACTTAGTTTTTGTGTGCAATAAATGTGTATACAAATTAACAAATTTTATGTTTAAGTTGTATGCCTTGCGTAGCGGTCTCGATCTTTCAGTAAAAAATAATAACTTGTATGTAGTTTCAGTTGGAATTATGATATTTATAAATTCATATGTTATTTGTATTTTATTAATCTCGTTCAGAGAAGATTCAAAATATAAAAAACTTGAACAACTTTTTTTTTAATAAATCCAAGTCATTTTTTTAACGCCCTTAAGAATAATTGATAAGTTTGCTTTATTGAATGCAAGTGATTTTTTTTATTAACAAAAACATGTTATGGAGTTAAGTTTGCGTTTATAGTATCGACGATCCAGCCCATATGGTACATTACACTTGAGTAAACCGTTGCGGCATTACAGAGTTCTGATCCTACGCTGACAATACCGAACTGGAAAGTCCGATTTCTTCCTTCGAAAGGTATCTCAGCGCTCAACGGGCCCCCAGAATCTCCATCACATGTGTCGCTATCCTCATTATAAGCACACAATTCGGATGGATGATCTAACCTTTTAAACTTTCGACTGCAGCGCCAATTGTCAACATGAAATACGGTGGCTGTCTGTAGTTCATTGGGGTACCCACCGGATTCAGTCTTACCCCAACCGGTGACATTATATGATGGAATGTATGTATGTTGGCCATTGACGAGGAGGCAAATCGGTCTGACATAGTCTAAAAATTTGATTTTAGTTCAGGAGTTCCTTGTTAGCTATAATGTTTAAATACCTGAGAAAAACACCTGTCTTTCCATTAGAAGCAGGCCTATGTCAAATATATATTTGCCTGGATTATAGTAATATATTGGGTGCACCAGTCTTCTAATGACATTAAGTTCGTAAGCCCTATCTATGCATCCCGATGGCGTGCAATCCCTTCCCGGATGCCTTACGTTGTATTCGCCCAAGCGGACCTTCCTGAAAAGAGAAAAAATAAAATATTTGTGGAAAATTTCAAAATATGTGCTTTCTTACAAAGGAATGTAATATTCAGGAATGCAGTGTGCGGCCGTCAAAACAAAACCTGGAAAAATTAAATAATTAAAATTAATCATATGATTTTTGGACCAAAATATCGCTATCAATATCACATCCGAAAACACATTACAAATATCTAGCCTTCTTAACAACTAAGTAAGTCTAAGAAATTTATCTTCCAAAAATTTAAAAAAAAAAAAAATTTCGAAATATTAACAAATAATAAAATTAACATTTTCAGATGTATTTAAAAATTAAAAAAGTAAAATGGTTTGATATATTAAATATTAATAAGAATATAAATTATCCAGACGATATTGATATATTGATATATTTTGCCTTAAATATAAATCGACTGATTCTAGAAACGAAATCAATTATAAGATTTAAATACATACGAGAGGTGATGAGTGAGCCGCCACAACTCCTTTCGGTGCGATTTGCGACTAACAAAACCATCCATGGATTCGAAAATATGTTTGCTTTTTTGGCTCTAGTCAATCGGAAGCCGATACTCGTAGTTGTTTTTCCACATTGGGATTCGAGTAATGAGCCCGATCCTTCTGCCTCAATAAACAGGCAGACCAAAACCGCGATTCCCGCTATGACGACTTTCATGTTATTGCAAAGACTGAATGATTGCGTACCGTGCGACTAATTTATATATGCATTTTGATCTTGATAAGAAACGTATAAGTGTTATATATATATGTATATATAGAATATATTTTTGGGTTTATTCAGTTTGACTCCTGTGCGATTTACTTATTATAGGTTTATTTTGTTGATAAAGACTTCGACCTTAAGAGTTCTTAATGGTGAATAATACATAATTTGTTTTTTTTTTTCGGAGAGTATAATTAGTTTGATTGTAACGCAGTAATACATTTTGATGTTTTTTTTTTGATCGGGCTTCTATAACTGCAATATAAGAGAATTGTACATAACACAATTTTTGAATATATTGAAATAAATTCATTTACTCAAGATATTTCCTATGACACGAGCTACGGCTATAAAAAAGTAACCTTGTTTGTTTCTAGTTCAAGGATTCATACACAGACATCTACTTTCCAAACATAAAATTCTTATCTCATGTTTGCAATTTTGCAATAAATTTGGCAGCTGGTCTTCTTCATAGAATTTTCTAAATCGAGCTTATCTCCTTTGCTTCTTTATGCTATTAACTTATAAATACCTTATTACTCTCCATTATATGTTTATATTGGCACAACGAAATTAATTTATTGATAAGGAACAGAGTATGCAGATTATTTTGTTTCTTGCCTGGTTTTCGAAATTTAACCGCCAAGACTGATATAAAAATCGATTAGTTGACAGGTGTCGCTTTTTAAGAAATATATCGGAATTAATTTTCAAACCTGGTAACACTGCGGCCTCATTTGACGCCAATTTTTCTTAAACATAAATAGGAACTGGTGGATTCTGTCGATTAAATTTCGTATTAAAACGCACCAGACATGGCCGAGGTTGACGATGGGTCCGAGTTGCTATTTTTCGACACCTTCTCGCACGAGGAAGTGACGGTAAGCGGCCGCAAAGGCCTCTACAAGGAGCAGTCTCTGACCCGCACTCTATTTCCATAGGACATCAATTTGGATCTGGTCCAGTTTCCCAAGCCGGTCTTCATCACACAGGTGCGGATCATTCCCTTGGGGGCCCGTGTGCAGGCGGACTTTCCCGGCGGCGTTCGCCTGGGAGCCACAAATCCCTCCAAGTTCGATCTGGAGTTCTTCGTCAACGACCTGGGAATGCCGGCTGCGTCTGCCTTTGAGAATCTCGGTCTGCTGCGGTACAATCAGAACGACTGCATCCATTTGGACTGCTCGCAAGAGAAGATCGTTACGGACGGTTTGGTGCTGCGAGGCTGGTACAGCACCATCACCCTGGCCATATACGGTATCTTCACAAACTCTGTGACTGAGCCCATTGCCAGTCCTACGCTGCCCTGCGAACCTGTGGGCCCGGAGATAAGCAATCTAAGTGGCGAGGTGCTCCTGCAAGATGATGTGCTGAAGGACGAGTGGCAGGAGCCGATGCAGGCCGAAATGCTTGCCGCCCACAAGGGTAACGTTAGCGACTACGACCCGGAGGACATGGAGTATGGCCTGTCGCGGGATCACTACCACCAGCATGCAGATGAGCAGGAGCCGCGCGAGATGCGTCGCCTGCGACGCTCCACGCATTCCACGGACCACTCACCACCGCCGCCAAGAAGATCGCACACGCACTCGGAGAGCAACGACCGGGAGTACATCAGATGGTAAGTGGTGGTGGGCCCCCTTTAAAAGATTTCAATATACAAAGGCCCTTTAATTCAGTGCACGCGACAAGGGCTCCAGGGATTGGTCGCGATCGCCGGAATACTCCAGTCATCGGTCGCGTCGCAAGCGCTCAGAGAGATCACGTTCCGACGTGGACGAGCACAAGTGGCCCAGGACGCCGCCTGCGTCAATTGACTCACCCACGCGGCCGCGTTCGCCCGATACGATGGACTACGATGACGACGACTCGCGCTCTCACTATAAGATGCAGTCTTCACACTACCGACACTCCTCGGAGTCGCTGCATCGTGGTGATCGAGATAGGGAAGATGAGGATCGATCATGTACCCCGCAGGAGCAGTTTGAGCCCATTCTTAGTGACGACGAGATAATCGGGGACGACGAGGAGGACGATGCAGTGGACGCTGCTGCCATTGCGGAGTACGAGCGGGAACTGGAGGCCGCGGCGGCCGCAGCGCCCCCTGCCATTGATGCTTTCGAGCCTTGGCAAAAACCTCTATTGGTCTATGAAGGGGATATGACTGCCCACTTCAGCAAGGAGCTAGAAACTCTGAAGCTGCTTTTTAAAAAGCTGGTCCTGCAAACCAGATGCGAGAATGTGACTGCCTTCAGCGAGGAACACGGCGCGAGTGTGGACGAGAGGGAGCAATTTGTGTACTTGGGAGAGCAACTAAACAATCAATTGGGATACTTGGCCCAGCACTTTAAGAGGAGGAACTTTGTCCTGCAGCAGTTCTTTGGTAACGATGAAGTACATTTACGTCAGGCTGCAAACGTGCTTCAGATTGCCCTGAGTTTTCAGGCTGCCTGCATGCAGCCCCAGCCTGCCTTTAAGATCCGGCACATTAAACTGGGTGCCCGAATGGCTGAGCTGCTGGGCAGCAGTGAGGACCTCTTCCAGCACTTGTTAAAAGAGCATCAATTCGACACATTTGAGGCAGTATTCCAGTTGTATCACGAACCGTACATGGCGCTGTCCATTAAACTGCAACTTCTCAAAGCCGTTTACGCCCTGCTAGACACCAGGATGGGCATCGAACATTTTATGGCTTCGAAAAACAATGGCTACCAGATGATAATAGAGTCCATCCAAGCCGCTAAGCTGACGAGGACAAAATATGCACTGCAGGCAATCATTAAGAAACTGCATTTGTGGGAAGGACTAGAGAGTGTACAAATCTTGTGCCGACGGCTCTTTGTGGACAGGATTATCATTCCTGGTAATCAGGACCAGATGGAGGAGACTGTGATAATTTGTCAGCAAATAGAGTTCGCCTTCGAAATGCTAATGGATGCATTGTTTTCCAGCCAGTTGAGCTATATGCAACCGCGACGCTTTCTCCCTGTGTCCAAGAAGTTCGAGGTGGTTACCGATCCCACGGCGCAGCGCGGCTTCGGAAATGCCCTCCAGTCCTATTTGGGACAGAATTTTTTGGCGGAATCATTGCTGGTAATGTTGGGAAACTGCAAGGAATTGCCGGCCACCACCTATCTGAGTATGCTGGACCTAATGCATACTCTTCTCCGTTCCCATGTTGGTATTGATTACTTTGTGGATGATGCTTTTCCTGTTACGCAGACAATCGTCGCTATTTTGCTCGGATTGGATGAGGTGCCTAGAAATCCTGAGGAAAAGGAGGTGAAGCCGGAGAAGTTAGAGCCCGAGGACAAGCCAATGGAAGTCACTGATGAAGCTGTGGATGCTGGGGGAGAGAAGGCAAGCTTAGTAAGCGCAGACGAAGAGGTAAACCCTGCTCCTGTCTCGGCTCCAGTTCCTGCCTCTGCACCTGTACAACAAATGCGACCCAGACCGATCCTTCGTCCAGTGCTGCCACGCCTTGCCAGACTGGGTATCGAAATGTCGTACAAGATGCAGACACGTTACCATCTGGACGCTATTGTCTACGCAGCCGCTGCTCCCGAATACGATTCCGTCAAGTTGGCCACCCATATGCATGCCATTTACTCTCAAACCTGCGACCCCGCTGGACGCCAACACACTGTGGAGGTGCTGGGTTTAAATAACAACCTTAAGATCTTCATGGATTTGATTAAAAAGGAGCAGCGCCTGCAGACGCAACGCCAACTTAGTTCCCCGGGCACAAAATACAAGAGCCCGGTGTTGAGTTATGCGGTCGATATGGTGGACGCTTGTGTCCGCTATTGCGAACAGCTGGACTACCTAATCGAACATGGAGGAGTGATCCTGGAGCTGGCCAAGAACCACGAAACCTTTGAGCCATCGGTATCGGCGGTGTTGCAGGAGATGTACGTGTACATGAAACCCCTTGAGGCTATTAATGTATTCGTTTATGATGACATTATGCCGCTGGTGGAGGTGATAGGCCGATCTTTAGATTACCTGACCACGTTCCCTGGAGATTTAATTATGGCCCTGCGGATTTTACGTTACCTTTCCATCAGCAAGCCGGTTGCGGGTCAAAAGGCTCCTCCTGTGACCGAGGAGCTGAAACATCGCTTTGTGGCCCTCCAATTATATGCGGCGGATGGTGTCCAGCTTTGTATTCAAATAATGGAGCGATTGTGTGCCTACTTCGAGCAGCCAGGTGCGCATGCACCTGCCTTGATGACCATCCAGGGTGTGCACTGCTGCCAGATCATGCTGCCCACGCTCCAGATCCTCCGAGAGCTGCTATCCTACGCGATCTTGTGTAGAGATGGCACTTATAAGGACCTCACTGCCATCGACCACCTTGTGAAGGTGTACTATCTGCTCTATTACTACCCCACGCGTTGTCAGGCGGGACCCGAGGTAGAGCAGTGCAAGATGGAGGTGGTCCAGACACTCCTTGCTTATACTCAGCCCAATGAACAAGACGAGGAGTCACTGCATAAGTCACTATGGACGCTGATGATCAGGGAGGTGCTTAAAAATGTCGATGGTCCAGCACACTTCATTCCAGGTAAGCTTAACTCTGAAAAATACACCGCGAAATTACAGATTTCATTATTTTATATATGTCATTTTAAACAGGACTCAAACTTCTCGCGGAGCTGCTACCTCTCCCTCTGCCGATGCCTCAGCCACTTTGTGACCAATTGCAGCAGCAGCATAAGCAGCGCCTAATCACCGAGCGGAAACTGTGGTCCGCCCACCTGCATCCCCAGAGCGGACAAATTGCAAAGCTGGTGGAGGCACTGGCTCCGTCCAGTTTCCCGCAGCTGTCGGAGCTGCTGCAGCGAGTATGCATGCAACTGTCGGATTTGGCGCCCAACATGACGCTGCTCATCGCCAAGACTATAACGGAACTGCTGTGCAATGAATATCAGACGTCCAACTGTATTCCGACCACCAATTTGGAACGACTGCTCCGTTTCTCCACGCGTCTATGCGCCTTTGCTCCGTTAAAGAGTTCCATGTTGTCAATACTATCGGGCAAGTTCTGGGAACTTTTCCAGTCGCTGCTGGCATTGAATGAATTTAACGACGTGGTATCCAACTGCCAGGAGGCTGTCCATCGTATTCTGGACAGTTTCCTTGACTCCGGAATTTCGCTTATCTCGCATAAGTCTACGGCCTCGCCAGCACTCAATCTTTCTGCGGCATTGCCTCCAAAGGAACTGATTCCCCGAATTATCGATGCTGTTTTTAGTAACTTAACCAGTGTGGAGGTCACCCACGGTATATCTATTCTGGCGGTGCGCAACCTGGTCATCCTCACAGAGCATGAGTAAGTTTAAAGTTTGAGCAAATTTTTAAAACTTGAGAAAATAATATAATTCTATCCGGCAGCTTCACCTTCTACCACCTGGCACAGTTGCTGAAGCAAAAGATCACAGAGTTCCAGGCATGGATGGAGCGCGTAATTCTTCACAACGAAACGGTGGAATACAACGCCAACATCGAGTCTCTAATCCTGCTGCTACGTTCTCTAACCCAAATTGAACCGCCGCCCACCATGTCAGCTATGCCGCATCGCACCCTGAAACTGGGCGCCACAGAACTTGCCCAGCTAGTGGAGTTTCAGGACATTGAACTTGCCAAGCCTCCTGTACTTAGTCGCATTCTCACCGTCATGGAGAAGCATAAGGCGGTGGCCAACGAGGCAGCACTAAGCGACCTTAAGCAACTTATTCTGCTTCAGGCCTCCAAGCAGGAGATTATCGCAGGAACCAGTACTGAAACGCTAACTGAGGGTGAGGGAGAAGTCAATCTCGCTGCCACTAGCGGCAGTGGACCTCTGACCGTGGAACCATATCTGCCACAGGCCGAGGGCATAGTCACACAGTACGAAGCGCGTCCAATCTTCACTAGATTCTGTGCCACCGCCGAAAATGCACAGCTCACGGCTCGCTACTGGCTGGATCCGTTGCCCATTGAACTAATTGAGGACATGAACGAGCCGATCTACGAGCGTATTGCCTGCGATCTTACGGATTTGGCAAACGTGTGTCTCAATCCGGACTTGAATGTGGCTGGGGATAGCAAGAGGGTAATGAATTTATCCGGCTCACCGCAATCCAATCGCGAAATGACCCCGACCGCCCCCTGTTTCCGCACTCGGCGCGTGGAAGTGGAGCCAGCCACTGGTCGACCAGAAAAGAAGATGTTTGTTTCGTCAGTGAGGGGTCGTGGTTTCGCTAGACCTCCACCGTCCAGGGGCGATCTTTTCCGCTCGCGTCCACCCAACACATCAAGACCGCCCTCCCTACACGTTGATGATTTCCTGGCCTTGGAAACTTGTGGCGCCCAGCCCACTGGACCCACAGGCTACAACAAGATTCCCTCCATGCTGAGGGGCTCTAGAGTGGGACGCAATCGGGGATCCCGCATCTCGGCGGCAGCCGCTTTCAGGTAGAGTGCATTGTTCTCTATTTATAGGCTTATCTCCAAGTGAATTTCCTCTTTTTAACAGGCAAAAGAAGCTGATGCGCATCGGTTCGCCCTCTAGCTGGGCAGAGTCCTCCGGATCCTATCGGTCAGGCTCGGACTCGCATTTCAATAGCAGCGATTCCCACTATTCGTCGCCCCACTACAGTGGAAGATCGCGTGGGCGTGGCCTGCGCTCCAGACCATCCTACTTGAGATAGGAGGATATTTCCGCTCAACAGCCTGGTTCCCAACTCCAGTTCACATAGACATATAGTCCGAAAACGAACAGAACTTCAGAACCAGGTGGTTGTTAATTAAGCAGTTTAACTACAGTACTCAAAAACATTTGCAGATTTTGTATTAGCTTACTGTTTTTTCCCCAATTTGTATATAAGCTTAAAGTTAATTTTCTGTAATTACACTGTGCAAACGGACGTCGTGCGACTCCATTGGCAACTCCTCATTGCTTATGATCTGCTCGTTAAGGGCAAGTGCCATAAGAGAGATCTTCTTGTGCGGATACTTGTCCGCGTGCTGCTTCAGGAACTTGTCGTAGTAACCCATTCCATGGCCCATGCGAGCTCCCGTGCGGGTGAAGGCCACCCCAGGCACAATGAACAGATCGATGCCGTGTCCTGCAGTAAAGAAATACATATTTAGCTAAAAATGGAGGACTAAAGGAAGTCTATATAACTCACCATTGGTCATGGCATCTTCACGCGCCTCCTTGAAGTCCGGCTGCTTGATGTTCCACTTGGTCAGCGGGAGACTCTCGTACTCGTCCATACCGCGCAATCGAACCATCTTCATTTTGGTACCCTCGTAGGTGGGCACGAAGACCATCTTCTCCAGGCGGAACATCTCGCAGAGCAGCTCCGTGGTGTCCAGCTCAGAGGTGGTGCTCAGGTAGATGCTCACCCGCGTTGACTGCCGGAAACTCTCGCTTTGTAGCACCTGGTGCGAGGGCATCGAGCGGATTAGTGATAACCTTAAACCTTGTTCGTCTTTACCTTGGCCGTGACTGCTCGGGATTGGCGGACAATGGACTCCGAGTCCAGGCTTTTAAGGGCATCCTTCATGCGCTTCCTCAGCGCTATTTTGAGGGTATTTTGGAACGTCGCCATTCCCGCTGGTGGATCTTGTACTGCACGCTCGTGCGAACCGGTGAGAACTGTCCCCATCTGCCTTTCTAGCGCGGGCATCTGTAGGTCTACGGCTCTCTTATCAGTTACACTGCCCCACTGTTATCACTGTTGGTGGTTCCTCTTTGGGACTTTGTTCGTAAACAAATGACAGGGGAGAAGTCTGCCCCAAAAAGTTTAGATTTCCAGTGCATAGCCCGAAAAACGATCAGCTGATCAGAGATGGAAGTTCTTTGGTTAGGTTTTAAAGATTATGTTAAGGCAACTTCGTATGTGAGTATGTTGATTTTCAATCAAATTATGATCTTGCATAAATGCATAGAATGCTATATTAATACAATTTTAAAAAACATCTTTAAATTTAAATAACGTTCGTTTAATGATCTTATGGCATATAGTATTCTTGTAGTAACTTTTTTCGTAAATACAATTCAGACAATAGTGTATATCATAAATATTATAATATTTTGAAACTTTTTAAACGATTCACTTCTTGGGAGCCTCGGGTGCCTTAGGTTCCGTCTTGGTCTTGAGATTCTTCAGCTGCTCCTTTTGCTATGGAAAAATATGGGTAAAGGTTTAGTAAAGATCGGGAATTTGCATTGAAATCTAGGACACCTTACCTGCTTGTAGAAGAACTCCTCCTCGCGAGCAGCCTCCATCTTGCCAAATGAGCCCCCTGCCTCGCGGATGGCCCCACCTCCACCGCCTCCCTTCCCGGCTCCACTTCCAAGTTCACCGACCTGTGACATTTTCAAGTTTCTGCAATGCAACGGTAAAAATGGTTCTCGAATTCTTATGCAATTTTGCTCCAGTTGATGAATCTTACTGAATTTGCTTCGGATACAAACGCTGACTGAGACGGCGCAGTGTAAACATATTTGTCTTTTATAGAAACGATTTATATAGTATAGTTAAGCTATATATAAGGGGTGATTTGTCACAGTGATTTCGCCAACTTGTGAAAACAAACTGCTGAAAATCAGACAAGAGCGTGGCTAAAATTACTTCGAAGGGATGCAAACAAAATGCCTTAGAGTTAGTTAAAAAAAAGTTTTCTTTCAGGGTTAAAGATTTCATGTTCTGTAGTAAAATAAATAAAAGACTAAAAGAATAAGGCGCTTTTGTTTCATACAAATTATTTAAAAGATCAAAATATATCCCAAATCATATTCTCCGCCCCTGCATTTGCGGCTGCCAACTGGCGTTTAATTTAACGGACTGTGTTTAATTTGAATTTGGAAACTAAAACCGGAAAATTAAGTTTTCGAAAAGTTTTTTCAGAAGCTGTTTGAACTTGAAAACTAACAATTTTATTGCGCAGTGTGCCATTTGGGAAAGCGAAGATGATGAGCTTTTGAAGTAATGAATGAAGTAATTAACAGAAACAATTAACTATTTTGTGTTTTGCGGATCTGATTTCAATTCCAATATGGTGGTAGTATTGTTTATGACTTCTGGGTCTTCTTGGGCACGATCGTGTAATACTTTAAAATCATCAGCGGTCTGGGAAAAGCGAGTTAATATTATAAAATAAAAACAAATACTTTTCAATTCTGATCAAAATATAAAGATTACAATGATAATCCTTACTTCATTTAGGAAAAAAGCCTCCTCGAGCACATTCTTGTGCTTGTTCATAAACGATGAGCTGCCCAGAGATGCGTGATCCAGGGTCTTCTGGAACTCATCCCAATTAGGCATGTAGTCCACGGGATCCTTCTTGTCCCGCATCTTGCACATTAGGTTCTGGGTAAGGGAAATAAAGTACTCCTCCTCCTTCAGACCCCCTTGCAGCTTGCCTAGTCCCCCGCCCCAGAGAAAAACATTTGGGGGTTTCTTCTCCTCAGAATACAATTTCTTGGGGATCAAACTTAGACTTCGTGGATATGGGCATGTAAATTAGCACGTAGAAAGTTAGAAGATGTTACTTACGTTTGCGAAAGACCCAGGCTCAGCTTACGCTGCATTAATCCTGCACACAACATTTTTGTACATGAAAGTAAGGAATACATACGAAAAGGTTACAGATTTTTTAAAAAGGGGTAGACAAAATTAGACGAATCCAAGGGCTGGGACTACTAGACTAGTATGTTTCAGAACGACTTCACCATGGTTGCTCTCTAATTTCATTTGGTTTTTTAGCCTGCTGACTTATTCCTGACTGTTTTTATTACTATAAATTCTAACAAAATGATTAAAAATAACTGTGCCCAGTACTATAGTTTAAAAAATAAACATTAGAATCGTCCCGTAATAATGTCATGCGCTTGAATAATAGGGAGAATTAAAAACTCTAAATGAAAAGTTGTTAATTAAAAACGTTTTGATGAACGTAATCTTTGACAAATAATATTTGAGTCGGCTGTAATTATAGAAGCAAATTGTCAAATAGATAAAGAACTCGATATGATGAACATCTTTAAAGTCTGTTAAACCCTATTCTTCTGCCACTTTCTCGTTTTGATTTTGTATGCCCTTTTAAATATATATTGTGGTAGGATTCGAAAAATGTTAATATTAAAATCACTTAAATCACTCTTTTTAGCAAGGACACTCTTTTGTACCAATCATACGTGTCCAGCTAAGTTTTCCACCTTTCGTCATTTTCTTCTTCAGTTTATTTAATAAGGTCAAACTGGTGCTGCTGAAATAACATCGATAGCTGTTAAATTCGAATTTTGTCCGGAAAATATTCGATACTATAGATTATTTGTATTCATTTTTACTTTTTTCTATTAGTTATTGCAGACAGAGATCGACATATTTCCAAGGAAAAAACATTTAAAGATTTAAACGAATCATTGTAATAATTTTTCGCCTCTCGATTACTATCGTAATGAAATCCTCGATAGTGTTTCGCAAGCACAAAAATTTGATATATCGGAACTAGCGTGAGGGGTTAGACCAGCTCTAAAGAAAATGTTGTGAAAAGAAAACGCTGCTTTCCCATGATTTGTGGAAATATCCGAAATGCTAACCGTGCGGGCGAGATAATGCCGATCGAGTGAGGCTAAGACACTAAACGGGCGGAGCGACTGCGCCGCGATCGTCCCGCGTTGGCAATTGTGTGTGTGTATCATGGACAAGCTACGAAACAACAACAAGGAGAATGCACCCATTGAGTACCCCTACCCACAAACCCCCGCCCATCCAACGACTCCTCTTCCTCTTCATACACCCCCCTGGAAGCTGGCGAGGATGTGGAGAGCAACAAGAGCACGCCCTACTTTACGCCCCTGGAGTTCCTGCAGACGTCTTTCGAGTTTCCCTCGCCCACTGCGGAGGGCGGGGTCCCGGGCATTCCCGAGTCGTCGGCGGAACAGGAGGATCAGGAGGAGGCATATACTCCCAGGCAGTTCACCATTGCCAGTCCCCACCCAACGCCCTATTTCCACCATCCACCCAGCTCGCAGTCTCCCACCTTAAACCGCAAGTTCAAGAGGCTCTCGCTGTACGATCGTCGATCCTGCTCGCCCCACATTAACAGCGAGGAGCGGGGAAGTGGGCGTGGCACCGACAAGGAGAACACCATCCCTAAGGGCGGGTCGGACGACCACGACCTGGAGAACAGCATGTACTTGTCGAAAAGCGAGCACAACTCACCCACTATACTTTTCAAGGATGAATCCTCAACAACGCCAGGACTGGACGCCAGTCGACTTAGCTTCTCCCCGAAACTGCTGTCCTCTATTAACAACCTGAACCTGTCCGGTTCTCCACTGAACATTATCAACTCGGCTGGGTACAAGAATGGCAACTTCTTTCGTTTCCCGGAAATCGATCATGTCGTACAGGAAGCGCCCATGGATACGGGCAGCTTGGAGGAGGTTCCACGACGAGATCGAAGTCCAGCGCTGGCGGAACCGCCAGAGCAGCAGCAACAGAAGTCAGAGGGCCGAAAGAATCGCAAAAATAAGAATAATCTCACCATTCGCATCACGGACGTGCCCATCAAGAACTCTAATCAGGCCTCACCGTTGCCTAAGCCGAAGACTCCGACTATCAAGAGCACCAAGGAGAAGGCCCGCTCGCTGGACTCGGCGGCCAATGAGTCGGAGCTGTCGATCGTGGTGCACAACATTACGGAATCTCACGGCAGCTACGATGACATGGAGTCGGGCCAGATCAAACCATCGACCAGTGTCATCCACCACCACCATCATCATCTCCAACAGCCCGGTTCCGGAATCCACTCGACCTCGCTCTCCCGATTAGACAGTCACCTGAGTCTGGCTAATCAGCGGCGCACTACGCGCAGAAAGTCACCCGGAATTAACACCACTGACTGGCTGATGTACCACCGCAAGCAGAACCCATATCAGGTGCCACCGCAGCACTGCAGCACCACGGCCCAAAGCTCCCTGGACTCGGACGCCAGTTTGACGCCCAGTTTGGGAGAATCCGAGCTAAAGTCCGCCTGCAGCGTGGACGGCGGCTCCAAGTTTGGAATGGGCGCCAGTCTGGCGCCAAGGAGCGCCCACAAGCACAATCAGCTGCTGCACTCGTCCAGTACGAATCTGAAGACGCTGCCCGAGTGCCTCACACTGGTGGAGTTTTCTTCCTCTGGTGGTGGAGGTCCCAAGGAATCGCCCTTTAAGCAAAAGTCCATGGACTTGCCGATGCCCTCATTGCAGGCCAAAGCAACAGTGTCCACATCTTCGATGAATCTGCTCCAGCGACGAGGATCAAATCACAGTTTAACGCTCAACCTGCACAGCTCGTGCGGCAACCTGATGAACAGCGGACTAAGCCTGTCCAACTACAGCCTGGGCTCCATACTCAACTCCAAGTCCAGTTGCAATTTGGATGCAGGCACTGCCAACCAGATCAGGTCGGATCAGCAGCCGCAGACGCATCTGTTGGCCGGCAGCCAGGGCAGTCGGCAGGGGTTGTTCAGAAGACGGGGATCCAACCACAGCATCACCTTGAAGACGGGTCACACCACCACCTCGTGTGGGGATCTGAACTCTATGCAACAGCTGCAGCAGCAACAGGCAATGCTGAGCGCGGAGAAGTACAGTCGTCTCAACATGCGCACCAACTCCACTGGCTCGGGTTCGGGCTCGGGATCCAATGTACCTACTCCAAAGCGAGGATTGCTAGAACGTCGCGGCTCTAATCAGAGCCTCACCCTCAACATGGGCAGTATACTGGGAGGGGGAGCAAGTACCGAAATCCATGTCCAGGACTTAGGGCAACCAAAAGTCACGGTCTGCAGTTGTGCTGCCGCCAACCAAGCACCGCATCAGCGCAAATTCTTCAGCACCGAGAACCTAAACAGCAGCAAGGCCAACAACCAAAAGTTCTTCGGACAGGTGTGCTTTGGCTCCGCCTCGGATTTGCAGCCCAATCCACAAGAGGAGTCATCAGGCGGGGAGCAGGGCATTGTCGCCACTTGCACCTGCGCTGGAACCGTGCGCAACATCATGACCAGACCTCTGTCGCCGCAGACGACCAGCGAGGAGTTCAAGATCTACCTGGCCAGCATACAGATGCTTCAGAGTGCCTCCAATCCGCTAAATCAGTTCGATTTGATCCGGCTGAACTACGTGTTCGATCACAGCTACCAGAGCAACAGGAACATGATCGAGCAGCCACCTGTGTTGGGCCCTAATGCACGGGATTTGGATACACCCACTGATCTAGTGCCACCGAGCTCGGAGGACAGTGAACTGCTCGCGTGCTACCAGGGAGTGGTTAGGAGGATCGTCCAATCGATTCCGGAACTGGAGGAAACCGAGCAGAAGCGCATATTTCGGGATCTGCACAAGGAGTTCTGGGACCTGCCCCTCAATCACCAGGAGAAGCCGATGGTCTTCGGTTCCCAGACGAAGAATCGCTACAAGACGATCTTGCCCAACGATCACTCCCGCGTGTTGCTCGAATCCGCGTACAGCGAGCTGATCAGTCTACAGGAGGAGGTAAAGAGAACCTGTTCCGTGACCGCCAGCGAGGACATGCCCTACATCAATGCCAATTACATCAAGGTAAGAGAAATAAATCCGATTATGAATAGTCTTTTCGAAATTTAGCCTTGTCTATTAATGAAATTCAATCCATCTTTCAGGGACCCGACTATGTGTCCAAGTGCTATGTGGCCACGCAGGGACCGTTGCCGAATACTATCTTTGAGTTCTGGCTGATGATCTATCAGAATACCCAGCGATACATACGACGCTGCGTGGATGGAGGGAGCAGCAGCAGTCCGCATATGGACCGGGCGCAGATCCTGCAGCAGTACTTCCAGAAGATCGTCATGCTCACCAACTTCACGGAGGCGAATCGCCAGAAGTGCGCCGTCTATTTCCCCATCGAACTGAATGAGATCTTTGCGGTGGCCGCCAAGTGCGAGGTGTTTCAACTGAGTGAGGCGGCAAGGGAGTACTTTGATCGGCATTTGACGCCCACCTCTGTGCCGGACACTGTGGTGGCTTCCTCGGAGGCGATCGACTATGAGCTCAGTGGCCGGCACATTGGCGTGGAGTCGGTGAAGGTGACGTTGGAGGGTGATCTGCTGGAGGCTCTGCCTGCCCAGGGAAGTTTCTTCCTGGTCAAAAACGTGGGCATTGTGCGGAGGAATGGTTACTCGGTGAGGAAGCTGGTGGTGCTCTACTGCATCCGAGTGCCCCAGACTGCAAGCTACCACCTGCAGAAGATCTGCTGCTACCATTATTGGTATCCGGACTGGCCGGATCACCATTCGCCACGGGACATCAACACGCTGCTGGACACATGCTTGCATGTTCTTAACCTAGGAAAGTGTGAGTCGGAGTTTGACAACTACGATGAGAGTAGAAGCGAAAGGAACGCCCACCTGGCGGCTCAGCGATTGGAGATCTACCAGCAGGATATCTTCAATGCCGTCCAGCCGCTTCCCGTGATCCACTGCTCGGCTGGGATCGGGCGCACTGGTTGCTTCACGGCCATTCTGAATGCAGTGCGTCAGTTGCGGCAATCGTTGGCTTACTCTTTGACTGGAATGCTCACCAAATCGCTGACCAGCAGCACGGTGGAGGAGTACGAAAGCCCAACGGACAGCGACAGCAGCTTCACCTGCAACACCATCCGGTACATCAGGCACATTTTGGATCACCAGGAGGCGGAGGCGGTTGAAACTGCCCCATCCTTTGACCGCCTACCCAAGATGCCGGACATTTTCGTGGACGTGCTGGGAATCGTGTGCAACCTCCGCCTGCAGCGGGGTGGGATGGTCCAGAACTCGGAGCAGTACGAGCTGGTCCATCGCGCTATTTGTCTCTATCTGAAGCGCACATTGGCGTTGAGGCGATTTTAAAAGAAGGGATAACAGAGATCAACAACTTTTTGACGACGAAAGAAGAAGATTAAGAAGAAAACACCAATTTACTATTTGTAAACACAATTTTTGTGACCCTTATTTTAATGAAAGCAACCACAACGGACAAGCAACAAGTAAAACCAGAAACCATGGCTAAAAGAGTCTCGAAAAAGTTAAATAAGATGGCATTCTCCGAAGGGGATTGACGAGGTGATGCTCTCAATGTTTGCTAAATATTACTATTACTACATATTCTATATATATATATAAATGTTTATTAAGTGTTGGATGTATGTGTGTTAAATGTGTACATAAGTGTAAATGTTTCCGACTTTTGGTGTGAACTATGCTTAAACTAAAGTTAATTAACAATTATTATTATACCTTACCTTACCTACCAAAACAATACCTTACCATAAAAAAAGCGCAACTTTACAGAGCTCGAGACGTTCGGCCACGTCCCTCGATGAGTTGTCCATCCTGTTTGGGGGCGGAGAAAGCTCAAACCTTTTTCAAGTTGGGCCCCTTCCAAGGGTCCTTCTGACTAAAACACCAATTTCCCCAATCCCAAACTGCCAGCTCGATCGCCGGACGTTGGCCAATTTACGGACAAGAGTTAAAAACACAAGAGAAAAACTCGAAAAGAAAATTTAAAAACCCATAAATGAACTTGTATTAACGTTTATGCAATGGAACTAGTCAAATAAAACTTAGAAACATTTTAAATGTAACTTTAAATGTGTAAAATTGACAATGTTTTTATTATGAAGAAGCGTGATGGATTTGAGGAAAAGTTCTGTAAGTTATTTGAATCTAGAGCTAGTAAACGCTTTACTTCTGTTGTAGAGCTAATTAATTCTGTTGATAAACTAAAAAGCGCAATTTCCCTTTTTTGAATAATGCATTGCTTTTCATTGACTTAATTTTTCAATTAACACCAGTGACTGTTAATTTTTTTTGGAAGAATTGTGTTTTATTTGATTTTTTTTAATTTCGATTTTAAAAATAAATAAAAATAGTTCTTTTTATCATGTACACATATTTAAGTTTTAAACAGTTTCAAAACATCAAAACAGAATAGACCATTATAATATGTAGAGATTAAATTACAATTTAAATTTGTAATTAAGAAAATATAAATTTTAAATATTTTGAAGTAGGAGGTTGAGTAAAAAAAAATCGAACGTCGGCGGCAATCGCCCGCTGCACCATCCAAGGGTTAAGCACAGTCAGCTGTTTTTTACGAGCAAAGTTCATCGTGTTCAGGTTTTGTGATTGCCGAATAATTACACTCACTCGCATATCTCTGCGTACACCCCAAAAAAATTTCAAAATCTAACTTTGAACATTAACTGTTCGGCCATTTATACATGTATTTTATTCATTCTTTTTTTAAACAAAACTATGGTTTATTGTCTTCATTGACGTAGAAATATTAGAAATATTCAACAGGGGGTTATATTTTATTTTTAATTTTAAACCTAACACTACGAAAAAGTGTACGCGCAAAAGTCTGCGTACAGCAGTTTTCAACTTCGAGGAATGCAGGATTGTGCGATTTCCGTTAATTTTGTTGTCGCCGATCTACTTTAGAATGTCTAAAAATAGACATTACGCAGTTAAAATGAAACTCTTTCATTATAATAACGAGCATATTGCAACATGGAACAAAAAGGCAAGGAAATTTCTGTTGAGGAGTGGAAAATAATATTAAAAGGTTTTTTGGATGGAAAATCTTATAGAGAAATTGGTGCTTTAGTTGGTAGAACCCACTCATCCATCCAAAGAGTGATAAGTAACTACAACTCGGCTGGAAGTATCTTGCCAAAGGCTCGTTCTGGCCGTCCGCCTTTACTTATAAACCGCGAGCAGAGGAATATTATCAAATCTATTCAGCTCAACCCAAGGACGACAGCTCACCAGGCAAAGCTGAAGGTCGAGGATAGATTTTCCAAAAGAGTTTCCGAAGATACTGTACGCCGGACCATAAAAAAGGCTGACTACCATAGCAGAGTCGCCCGCAAAAAACCTCTCATATCGGAAGACAATAGACAAAAGCGCCTAACCTTTACTAATGAGTATATTTCCAAACACCAAGACTTCTGGAATAAGATTATATTTCCCGACGAAACTAAATTCTGCATATTTGGAATCAAGGGAATGGTTTTGGTATGGAGGAAAAGCGGAGAAGCCTCAAATTAAGAAAATTTGGTTGGCACAGTAAAGCAAGGAGGAAGCGGAATAATGGTGTGGGGGTGTATGGCAGCAAGTGGCGTTGGAAAATTGGCATTTATCGAGTTAATAATGGATCAGAAAATCTATATTGACATATTAAAAAACAATTTAAAAGAAAGTGCTGAAAAATTAGGGCTCGAAAGTGAATGTTGGTTCCAACAAGACAACGACCCGAAGCATACGGCGCAGAATACCAAGCTTTGGCTGCTGTATAACGTCATAAATCAGCTGCGAACACCTCCCCAAAGTCCTGATCTAAGCCCAAATGAGCATTTTGGGATCTTCTTGAGAGGAAAATCCGAAGACACACGATAACATCTAAAAAATGCTCAAGAATGTGATTCTCGAGGAGTAGGGGAAAATTACTGCAAATGAGACAAAAAAAAAGTGGATTCCATCCCGAGACGCCTTACGGAAGTTTTGCAGAGAAAAGGATACCCTACCAGTTACTAAAAATAATATTATTTGTGTTTTAAACAGGTGTACGCAGACTTTTGCGGGTACATTTTTTGGTAGTGTTAAGTTTAAAATTAAAAATAAAATATAAAACACTGTTGAATAATTTAAAAAAAAATACGTCAATGAAGACAATAAATTATAATTATGTTTAAAAAAAAGAATGGGTTGAATATATGCATAAATGGCCGAACAGCTAGGGTTTAAAGTTAGATTTTGAAATTTTTTTGGGGTGTACGCAGAGATATGCGAGTGAGTGTACCTCCGATTAGATTGTTTATGAAATCTCAACGGGCGGATAACTAATTTCGCCATGCTTCGGTCGGGCGGCCGAATAATTTTTACCAGGCTCCACAGCAGCATGAAAGTGAGTTAATGCTAAACCGCAATACATTAAATTAATTTGCGAATTTCCCAGGTGAAAGTTCCAGTGAAGCAAGGTGTTGTGGTGGGTCAACAAAAGAAACTGACCAATGGATTGGTGTACAATAGTTTCCTGGGTGTTCCCTATGCAGAACCTCCAGTGGGAGAGCTCCGTTTCCGAGTAAGTAAACGCATATCATTAAGATTCGCTTCTAATCCATTGCCAACAACTGAAATTTAGAGCCCCCGCCCAATTCAAAAATTTGAGGAGCAGGAACTGGACTGCAGCAAGGAGCGAAAAGTGTCCCATCAGCGAGACCCCTTCACCTTAGAGGTGGCTGGCTCCGAAAATTGCCTCTACCTTAATGTTTACGCACCTAAGGTCAAGAGTTCGGTCTCTGCTCTGCCTGTCATGGTCTGGATTCATGGAGGAGGATTCTTCTTCGGCAATGGCAATAGTGATTTGTAAGTTTCTAAGCATATTCTTTGATTTTCATATCTAATACAGTAACTCCTCTTGTAGCCACTTTCCCGGCAAGCTCATGGAGCAGGATGTTATTGTGGTCACCCTGAACTACCGACTGGGAGCACTGGGTTTCCTTAGTTTACCCGAGGAAGGAATCCACGGGAACATGGGGCTCAAGGATCAGCGTCTGGCCCTCCAGTGGGTGCAGGAGAACATAGCCAGCTTCAATGGCGATCCCAATAATGTAACCTTATTCGGTGAAAGTGCGGGCGGTGCTTCAGTGCATCTGCACACTTATGCCCGCCATGCCAACCGACTGTTCCACAAGGCCATTATGCAGAGTGGAACGGGCAACATGGAGTGGGCGTTCCAGAACGAGGCTGCTGTCAAGACCCGACGCCTGGCGGAGCTACTGGGTGGCGGTGATTTTGGTAGCGACAATAAGGCACTTCTAAGCTTCCTGCAGTCGGAGAAGGTTACACCCACAGCCATTTTGGCAAACACAATGAAAGTCCTAACAGCCGATGAGCGGCGACGACACTTGCCATTTGCCTTCAAACCAGTTGTGGAGGATAGTAGCAGTCCGGACAGCTTCATTGACCAGAACATCATGGAGCTCATGCACAAAAAGGACTCCCTAGGAGGAATGCCAGTAATTATGGGCTACAACTCGGCCGAGGGTCTGGCCATGGTGGTGAAGGCCAAGCAGAAACTGGAGGCCTACGAGGATGATTTGGCCAGAATGGTTCCCCGCAATCTGGTGCTGGATCCACAGTCTCCCGAGGTACAGGAAGCTGCCTCAGACATAAGAGCCTTTTTCTTCAATGGCCAGGCGCTGTCCAAAGAGAACCTGGACAACTTGGTGGATCTGTTCACTGATTACCACTTCAACATGGACCTACAGCACGCAGCGGAGATCCACGCGAACTGCCAGGAAAAATCTCCTCTGTATTTCTATCGCTTGGACTATGTGGGCGGTCGTAATATGTACAAGAAAATCTTCCAGAACGAGGATTTGCGTGGAGTGGCCCACGCTGATGATATTTGCTATGTCTTCCAAATGGCTGGAGATGAGTCCGAGATGAGAAAGGATGACATGCTGGTTACGGAACGACTTTGCCAGATGTGGGCGAATTTTGCTCGCGATGGAAAGCCATCGGAAAGTTGGACTCCGGTTCAGAAACCCCAGTCTGGCAAACCCTTCCAGCTGGACTGCCTACTCATCGATCGGGAGCTTAAGATGTGCGCCAATCCGGATGGCGAACGGATGGACTTTTGGCGGAGCATGTACAGAAGATACAGGAACAAGTGCTACGAAGCTCTGAGAGCTAAACTTTAAATCATTCTTAATAAGCAAGAATCTAAGCATCTACTTCTAATAAATAACCCTCATTAAATGAGCCGATCTGTGTTCTAGTTTCATTCAAAACTTAAATGAAATTTAAAAAATAAATATGTAAATAAATGAAAAATTAAACTAATATAACTTATAGGTATTATATAATGGACATTGTAAAGCAATAATTACAAGCAAACTTTTAAATTTTCAGTTACAAATTTAAGTTTGATTGTATTAATTTTATTGTTTTTTAAAGCTTCATTAATTTAGTTAATCAATTTTGTTTGGTAAGTTAACCTTATTCTTAACGTTATTGTTTTTTGTGTTAGAAAGTAAAAGGTTTAAAATTCTTTAATCAAACAAACATTTTTTTTGGCATTTTAGAACCAATCATGTTTTCCCTGATGGGCCAAATCCGCACCAGAGGTCCATTATTTCATCTCTCTGACTATTAACTAATTAATTGAGTTTTTTAATATTCTTAAATGCTATTAGATTGGGCCTTTATTGCTTAAGAATAGTTCGAAAAATTAATAACGTTATTATTATTTTAAATATTCAGGACTATGAAGTTCGCCTTTACATATGTACTTAAAACTCCGTTAAAGTAAATTATTTCTAATTTTTTTTATGCAAAGCAGTAATTTCCTAAATTAGTTTAAATTTAGTTTTTGGGTGTGGTTTGAGTCTGAGTTAAAATACTTTTTTAATTACTTGCGGTATATTTTTCATGTGGTATATTTCAACAGTCCCAGGGCGGTCATACTAAACTCAATTTAGCAATAAACAAATTTTAATTTAGTTCTAAAACAAAAGCAAATGCAGGGATTCTAGCTGCACACAGTCGCAACGGAACAGCAAGGACACACGCAGGTCGGGTGGACGCAGGACGAGTGCCAGCATGATGGGCAAGGTCTGCATCGGGACACTCTGGCCACTAGCCATGTTGGTGGCCTTTTCCACTGCCTACAAAAATGGTAGGTGCGCCTCAATCCTCTCAAGAGAATGTAAATAACTTTGTGTTATCGCTCCCCAGTTCGCCTGCAGGACAACATGTGCTCGGACAAACTATTCTTCACACTGGCCAAGCCGTTCCGAGGCGATCCCACGGTTCGGCTGGAATTCGATGACACCTCTGGAGCGATCGTGACCCAGATGTGGAATCTGACACTGCCCCACGGCCATGCGGCCAACAAAATTAAGTACGACTGCCAGTTCCGGGTGCTGACCAGCGAGCGTACCCCGCGCGGCATATATACCATTATCACACGACTCAAGTTTCGGCGCGATCCCGTGTCCAAGGAGTGCATCGACTACATCCAGTTCAGCAGCGGCAACCGCTCGCCCAGCGAACGCATATGCACGGATATCTCCATTGACGGGCCGGCAGGTCGCTTGATCTTCGATCAACGCGACCGCGAGGTCAATGTGCACATCTTTATCGATCGATCGCGCCATATTCTCGGAGATCCACTGGAGCTGCGCATGGTGCTTACAGCACACTCCGAGTGCCAGTTCAATGGCGATTTCCTCTGCGATCCGAACGACCAGTACTCGTGCATCTCGCGGCACTTTGTGCGGGACAATATCACCAACTGCCTGTATCCGTGCCGCGATGAGGGCACCTGCTTCCACGACGCCATCGTGCCGGAGGAAATCGACACGGCCAATGTGGCCATCTCGGCGCTGACGTCGCTCATCTTCACCATGGTGGGCGTGGGCTTCTGTGTGTGGATCTGCTGGAAGTACTGGAACTGTATAACAGTGCAGCAGCGGGCGCATGAGGCCTCAGCTGCCCGCTTCAATCAGAGACGCGCCAGGGTGAGTTCAGGTTTCTCAATGCGCTGTCTAGATATACAATTAATTGTTATTTCTAGTCGGATGTGCCCACCATTGAGCTGCCTCCAGCGACACAGTACGACGATAGCGTCCTGCACGAGCACGAAACTCAGCATCAACAGCAGCCGGCTACGCCCAAGGATCTGCCGCCCAGCTACGAGTCACTGTTCCCTGAAAGATAAAGATCCTCGGCTGGGAATGCTCCGCTTTGTGCCAGATCAGCAAGTTCTTGGTATCGCACACTTGTTGTATTAGTCCTATTAGGTAATTGAATCTCTATCTGAACAGATCAGCATTCTATGTAAATATGTTAGGACTGATTTTATGTTTTGTGATTAGCGTTAGCGATCAAACGTCACCTTTGTCGATGTGTTCACTTTGAACCATATACCAGAATACTCCCCCGAGACTCCACTGTTTTACAGATGTATATATTTAAGTTTTATGTTCTTCAGCGTCCGTAATAATTTAATATTTGTAACTGTTGAAGCCGCCTTTTGGCGATGCAAATTGTTTACTCACTGATGAAATCTCACTGGTATTATCGAACTCTATAAAATTATATCAATTATTTACCTAAGCAACAATTATTTATAAGCAAAAGCCACACAGTACTAGTCTCTGTATTAGCTAGCGTAAATATTCCAAGGGCCAGTCAAAATTGGCCAGGCATTCCACATAGATTGTACCTGTTTCTGTATGGCATAAATGTATGTTATGTATTTGTACGCCTAGAAAACCACGCGCTTGTAGATGTCTTTGTTGTGTGCTGGCCGAAGTTGTCAATTGTTCAATCCATAGTATAATATGTAGGCGCACACACGCTCACGAGATAATGTACGAACTACAGTAATTACTCCAAACATGTAACTGCAATGTAACTGTAAGATCGGAGTGGTGGTCAGTAGCTCTTAAGCCAATTAACTTATATGTATACACACGCAACTCACTCAAATACGTATATTAACTGATAAATAAACCAACTAAATCTCAGTAGAGCATAGCGAAAGTACGGCCGGGAATCACCTCACCCTCCGCTGATCATCCCCAGTTTTAGTGTTGGGGTTTCATCACATGGTGACACACTTCGTGATTCAGCACGTGTCTTATCCAATAACCCGTCGAACAGGCAATCCGAGTTCCCGCGCCCGCGCCCGCACCTACAACTCATCTCCACAGAAATCGGCGGTTGGTCACGACTAGAGGAAAGGTGTCGCTGATACTGCGTCATCCATGGGCTAATCAATTTCTGGTCTGCTTACGCTGCAAGCGTAGATTTTCCTTTGTTACCAACGGACACTTGGATGTTTCGCGGTGGATGCGGCACGTGCTGGGGTCGCCTGGTCGTTGACTCGTCACAATTGACCAAACTGGTTATCGCCATCGTAGCTGCGAGACAATTTGCCGGCCAATCTGTGCCCCCGTTCAATGTCGGCCCACAATTGTCCAATTGCCTTGGAGTCGCAGTATGCGAATCAATTAGCGAATGTGCGCCCCTCTTGGCAACCGGTAGCTGCTCCACGGATATATCTCTATATATAACGCCCAGGTGCCAATTATAACACGCACACAAAAGAGCCACACGGCCGATCTATCCATCAAGTTCAGGGTCGATCTCCAATCACTCTATCGCCGAAGCTCTTGGCCTTAATTCGTGTCAAGCACCCTGATAGGGAGTTTAACCACCGAGCCATCCATCATCCCGAGTCGAAGACCTCACGGGTATCCTAGAAATTGCACTCGATCTTCTTCTGACGCTTCGGTGTTGTCAAATCGCGAAATTCGCACAGCGAATTAGCGCCTCGCAGTGGGGCGTGTAGGTGTGAGTTCACGCCCAAAAATAACCCTAAGCACAGCCAGTTTTTTGAGCCACTTTCGCAGTGTATCTGCCTCCTCGAAAATATATTTTTAAAACAAACGGTAACTTAAGGTCTTCCAGTATTAAGGTGTGGCTTATATTTGATCCAATATCGAAAATCCATATACGGGCATAGCGGGAATGTTTGTGAATTTCAGTGGGTATGTTAACTAAAGATATGCACAGAGAAAATATAGAACAAACATTGCTTGAAGCTTTTTTTATTTTTCTTATCACTTATCTGTTTTCTGCGAGATATTGGCATGACTTTATCAATCAGTATAATTTAACAGCATATAATTTTATATGGCATGAACTACGCAGCAAGAATTAGTTGGCTCTAGATCAATACTTAATTCGTAAAACCTTAATAACTAGAACAATATCTAAGCTAAAAAATTGTTTCTAATTTTAAGTAAAAGATTTGTAGACTTTATCGTTCTTTTTATTTTAAGCCTTAAACTTAATTTGTAAATCTTTTAAGTCCCATAATTGTTTTCTATTTGGTAGTAGACTGAAACCTTTAAAGATACTAAGGTATTAAGTTTGTTTTTAAATCACATAGATAAATATTTTTTGTGTGCTTCTGTAACCACCCGGAAATCCCCTTTAAAAGATAATTTGTTTTTAAGTTATAAGAATACTAGATTTCATATACATGTTTGTTTCTTTAAATTGAAAATCGTGATGATTCATTGTAAAATTAAAATAATATTATGGATTTTGTGTGTGATTTTGTGTGTGATTTTGTGAAAAAACCATGGTAACCACAGGTCCAGAACCGAGCCCGTTTCTAATCATTCATTGGTTTTGCGGTGGCGACACTGGCACCTCCGCCTCTTTAACGCCGATTGTTTGATGTTTTGGCCAACAATTAGATACGTTGCTCTAACCAGTCCCGCCAATCGCCGGAATTACTTTCTCGCCGAGCGGAGAGCGCGTGACTCATACGCACGGGGGGCCACAGCGAAACAAAGACGCTGGCAGAAACCACAACACGACCAGAAAGAGCAGCTCCGGCTAAAAGTTGTGGGCAAACCGAGCGACTCGCTCAGTCTGCGACACACAGTTGAAGCTGAACGATCGATTCGGCGGACAGTCCGCATCCAAGTTAAAGCCCGCCTCCATACCCAATTGCCCGGTGCAATTCTCAGTGAAGTGAACGATTTATGGAAATTCATTGATTGCAATTCCAGCCGACAAGTGTGTGAATCAAAAACAAACAACAGTCCCAGTTACCTGAACATCAGCGCCATGGAATACAGCCGGATCCAGACAATGCTGCCAATTATGATGGGTGAGTCTCAGACAGGCCTTCTCTGGATATATGCACAGATATTGTAAATGTGTATATGTATAAAAAAAACAGGCAATAAACAAGTCTCGAACAAGCATATGCTAATTATGTGAACGTGAACTTCAGCAAACTCTAGCTGATTGGAAATAATTAAACCGTGAATAAAGATTGTGAGCAGGGAATGTTTGAATGGGACGCCGTTTAGTATACGATAGGTATTTTTAAAGCATTGCCAAAAGAATTATCTCACAAAACTAGTTGTTAAAAGCAAAGTTAACGCAAAACAGGATATATCAGTTATTAATAAAAACATTCTTTGCAAAAATAGTTTTGGTTTTCATTGTGTTAAAACCTCATAAATATTATTATATGCGCCACTATGATTGATGTGTTCCTGAATCCATTTTAATATTATATAGTAGAACTATTAAATAAAATTTGTTGTTAAATCAAAGTCAAGTAATAATATGTTATTTATGAAAAGTCTGTAATCAGCTAATTCATTCTTGTCTTATTCTTTTTGTCCGTAAAGAGCATCTGTACATCATTTTTTTTTGAATGTCATGAAACTTTAGAAAACCCGAAAATCCCCTGCTAGTCCTATCAGTGCAGTGCAAATCCCAATAATCGTAATAGCCTTAAGCGACTGTTTGAGGAACTTCTGGCGTCAAGACCATATCATCTTGGGCCTTCATCCAGACATCGTAAACCAGTTAACGATGTCTTTACGATCCCGTCATCTGCTAATCCCGTTAGATAAGATCTGAGAGTCAGCGACATGTGATCGCCCCATAAATATCATCTAAAACGAATCAAAGTTAGAGCCCCTCGTTTCGGTGACATTTCACGAAAGTGGGATGTTGTGTGGCTTCGAGGGGAGACCGGCGATATCTCGATTTGCAATTTTCCCGGCAATTATGGAAACCGGTTAAACTCAAGTCGCTGGCAAGCCCCAAATACTAATGACTAATGACGTTATTAAATGGGGCGGCGTACTTTACTGAACCACCCTACTTGTGGATAATGTGAACAAATCACGGAAATTCCAGAAATTCGGTTTCTTAAGTAGAAAGCCGGTTCAAGGCAAATAGAGTTCGTTTATCCGTAACTTCCATATATACATATCTATGTATATATAAACGGAGCACATGGCATGTGGGCAAGACAATACCCCCCATATCCACCTGTTCCGTTTGCACAGGTGATACACCACTAGCTCCACTGAAATTGCTGACGTTGACTCCAGCACGTTTTGCCATTAGTAGCTAATTAGAATTTAATTGCTAATATTTTGTTGCTGCTGCTTGTTTTTCCACTTCCACCTTGCTGGTTTTGTTTGGTATTTCAATGGGTTTGTGCTGTTGTTTGCATGCGTGTTTTTACTGCCACCTTATCTGTATCCACTTGACACTCTATAAATAACCAAACCCACCCGCACAATTTATCCACTGTTAAATGAAAGTTCTCGCCCCAAGAAACCCACACCCAACATTAGCTTTGGCAGTTATTTTTAGAAACCATATATCAAGTGCGTTAATCTAGTTTTAAGTCCCTGTAGAAGTGGAACAGGGTTTTCTCAGTTTACTTGTAATTATTTGGTTACATTTTCAGATAAATTTAAAGATGTATACAAGTTTTATCAGCATGGCAAATATTATTTTTAGTCTAGGCGAAAGATTCCATTCATTTTAATTTCCATGGGACAGGTGTATACACATGACCGTTTTGTCTAGATGAATCTGAATTTTATCAAAAATTAGCACAAAGATTCCATTCAACTAACATGTCTCGGGACCGGAGTTCCCACATGACAATTTTGGCTGACTGTAACCCAGATGACTGCTACTTTTATTAGCAAGGAAGATAAAGTGATTATCGAGATTCTATTCAAAAAACCTCCCCATCTAATGTTCCACATTTTGGCAACAGGGCGTATGAATTATCTCGTAATCAACTGCGTAACTTTTCCTCTTAACTGGCAAAAAAAAAAGCTATTACGGAAATGACCAGCTGTCTCTCATCGAGACTCGTCATAGCCCCAACCTAGGTCAACAATATTGTGCGACCGAATTTCATCAGTTTCGTGGTGAAATTGATTGCGAAAACAGGTCCGCAATCAAGTAATAATTGGCAGAAGTTGTAAAGATACTTTGGTTGTCTGGAGATGGGGGCCGTGTGCCTATCCATCCCGCAAAAAAATAGAAGAACGCACCTTCGATGGTGAAATATGGTCGCCGCCAAAGAAGTGTGCAAACACAGTTACCAACTCATCGAAAGGTCTTTAAAATGAGATAGCGAGTACACAATGTTTTATTGGCGGCAGCTTAACTTGGCTTTTATGGTGTTTGTGTTTTGATGGGTGCGTCAAAATATTTTACAAACCATAGCCAGGAAGATAATACTTACATATGTGGACTAACACCTACCCCACTAGTCGCTGGAACTAGAGATATTCTCCATCCATATCAGTCATGGAGATATACCAAAATCCACCTCAGACACCGGGTCGTCATCGGGTTTCTTATCGTCAAGTGGCTTAGGTCGTAAACTTAACCGCCCGATTGACTGAGCTTATTAAGCGATCCATTTACGGGGGGAACGCCCCGCTGGCAGTGGGTTATATTTAGATACTCTTATCAGTCGCCGATGAAGATGTTTGTCTTCAGCGCTCCCACCTGAAATAAAATCCATTTGTTCGCACGCCACAGAATGGCGAATGGTGATAAGCTATCAGTGAGCTCACCGCTCCGTCTTGATTTCCTGATAATTTAATATCACTAATACCCCTCGTCCGCTCCGTTCCCTTCCCCTCCCTTCCGTTCCGATTCGATTCGATGCGGTTTGGTTTGGTTCGGCGTGGGTATTTTATTCCATTTCAGTAATCATCGCCAGCTCGTGCTGCGTACACGGCCAGTCCTATCTCTTCAGTTTGGAGAACGTTCTCAACGAGTCCTCGCGCCAGCTGCCCTACAACCTTACCTCCGCGAACGGAACCACCGAGGTGGACTTGTTTCCCGATCCCATCTCGAACAACACCCGCATAATTGTCTACAAAAACAGTGAGTATTTGTGAAGAATTACATTGAAAAGTGACAAACCACAAGACAAATTATCCAACAACACAAAAATTTTAAAAGGAATTAATTCAATTTAATAGTTTCAAAATACTGATTCAAACAAAAAACTGTATATATTTATTCGAGCAAAATCTATGTAGATCTTGGAGCTGATTAAGTAAGAATTTATGAGTAATGCCAGCGTCTCCAAAAAATATCAAATCTCATGGGTTTTGTCTTGACAACAGTCATTATTGTTAAAAAAAGAATCATTAATCTATTTTTGGAATCGTAGCTATATTAAATTATAAACTGAAGTGGTTTAATATTGATAACACTTTTCAAAGATCGCAGTGTGAGTGTGATATTAATTAATTATAAATATTTACCCTGATAAAGGCATACATAATAATATGATAACTAGACATTTTTTTTGACAATAATAGAACAGTTGATTAAATATTTTGACAAAAGCCATTAAACATTTTGTTTTTATTTTAATTATTTATCAGTTTATCAGTGATATGGAAAACATTAAATACTTAAAATTAAATCTAAAAAAATAAATATATAGAAAGAATTTTTGTTGTATGCCTGCAAGGCAATGTAAACAAGTGTAAGAAAGTTCAAGAGGCTTACAACTGGTATTAAGTGAACTCTGTTTCGTAACCGCTTTCGCCCACTGGTAATATCTCAATTGTACCGGACCCTTGAGACCGACAATCAACAACAATATCTGTTTAAATACAGTGCCCACAAACGGGGTTAGCCCCTATCAACAGTTCATTTTAGCCATTAGCGTAGTTCGATGACGCGACAGTAATGCGAATCGAGCAGTTTCGTCATAAAGTTTATGGTTGGCCCAGACCCACAATTCGTGACTAGAAGCACAACATCAGCGATCAGCACTCGGGGTGTCAGATAACCTGATGGCTGGGCAATAAACTTTGGTACTGGGATGAAATAGGCATTCTAGGGGTTTCCACTGAAAGTTTTGATTCTATTGATTCTAATTAAAACATAACGTGGGTTTTGTCTGTGAGCTGGCTTGAATATGAATTTCTCAATAACTAATTAACACCAAATTCTTTCAGCTGTCGTCGAGTCGCCCAACGAACTTTCCCAGACAGCAATGGATGTGATCACGATTGTGTGGTATGTGGCCACCTTCCTCGCTTTGGCTGCCTTCTTCATGCTGATGGCCTGCTCGGATCGACGATGCCGGGACATGAGGCGTCGTCCCGCCGGAGGACAGTCCACCGAGGGTCTGAGAGCACCGCCCACGCCCTCACCTTCGTACAGTGAATTCGCACCGCCGAGCTATGATACGGTGATCAAGATGCAGCATGCGGCCAAGACCAGTGTGTTCGTGATACCCTTCAGCAACAAGGCCGGGGATCTGGGTGCTCCAGTATCACCTCCTCCCACAGTGGCCAGTCCATTGCCACCTGCAATCACCTGCAGCGTGATCACCGTCAATGAACTGCAGAAATCGGCAGACTAACCGATAAGTAGACGGGGAATCCCAGGATTTTTAGTCTTACTCCGACTCTGTGATATTTGCTGTTTATGGCAATTAGCCAAGTATTAGATGTCGTAAGATCCACACAAAAAAGACTGACAATGAAAGATATCTGTATGTGCATATGCATTCAAATGCCAGTTCAACTGAAACTAGATGAATAAGTACTTAAATATAATAAATCAACACCTTATCGAAGATGATTCACTTAACCGGATGTTTTCTTTTCTAAGAACTCGGCTTTGAAATTACTTATGGGCTTATGTGGGATATTTACAGTTCGAGGGAAATATCTGGCAGCTCCGTTAGCAAAAGCTTTAATATAAACGTTTACCGAAGACAAACACCACTTAACGACAGCTTTCGCGGGTGAAAGCTTTCTGGGAAAACTTTTAGTTTAAACTGATAAGCGTTGAGTTCAGTTCAGGGGGAATTTTTTCTGTTGTGGGGCTCCCACTCGATGCGAGTAGGCTGGACAAGGCCTGAAACTGAACCCTTCAATCAATATCAGGTGATCTGGAGGTGAAGTGCATTATGTGTGTTTATCCAAAAAAAAAGGAGAGGAAATAATAATCGATTGTTTTCTCAGTCGAAAATGGGGTAAGTTAAGTAAATAAAAATAAAGTACTTTCCTTACCCATTGCCATTTAGCTTCTCAGGGTCAAGCAATTAGTTCATTCATTAATCGCTTCTAGTGAATTTCTTTTCCAGCCGCAATTGTTTAGATCGTGTGAAGGTAACATCTGGCCCAAAACAGAATGTTTTTTTTTTTCTGGGGCACCAGCCAGCGCGCCCCGGCGTATACGTAATATTTCAAGTTTTTGTTTATTTTGCACACAAATATTTCACACAAATTGTTTTGGAAAATTACACAAACAGTGCCGATAAGACTGAGACACTGGGGGAGAAAGGGAGGCCGGGGAGTGTGTGTGCCAAACCAGATCGGATTGCAGTAAAATCACGTTACGCCCCGCTCAATGCGGTTCATTTGATGCAAACCATCGTTCTTGTTGTTCTTTTGCTGCCTGCCGATGGTCGCTGATTGGCGCTTGTTGCCCGAGCTGAACGCTTGATTGTGGGTCCATTCATTGAGCGATCTTTAATACACCGAGAGGAATTCACATTTGGTAATCATTGTTTCAAATGAAGTTGATCCCTTATCAATATTCCAAGAATGCAGAAAGATTAAAACAAAAATTAAACATAATTCCAATCAAAGAGAAGAATCACTAATGGATTACCAGTACATCGTTATAAATTAGGCATTTAAATTCATTTTATTTTAAAAGTTCATAAATAACTATAAAAATAAAAAATGCGCAAAACATTTTCTTACTTTTGAGCCGATTCACAGGAAAATAATAATGACTCTTGTTAGTCAATTCGATTAACATTAATATTAACAGAAATAGGTCTATTAATGGTTTAAATCTTATAACTGACACAAAATGAAATATTCGTAGAATTCATTTTAGTTATTATATATTTAGTTTCTACATTTTAAATAGTTGGTCATTATTTCTTCATGTGTTGCTAAAGTGGTCACGGAGATGAAAAATATTAATCAATGATCATAAATTATCGTCAATGCCGATGTTAAACTACTACATTTTCTCTGTGTGTAGTGGAGAGCGTTGCTGATTGAGGCGGATGAAGCCGATCGGAGTTGGCCAATTTTCTAAACTCTCTCACGGTCTTTAATTGAACCGCACTTCCTCGGCTTCCTCCCGTCGCCCCCTCCCCCTCACTCTTTCTCTGCTCCGCTCTTCCACATTTCTCATTTCCCCTTCCTCCTTCTTCTTCTCTTTCTCCGCGGCTAGTTGTGCAAAAACGCCTGCTCGCTCTTGCTCCCACTCGCGCTGTTCCTCTCCCTCTCTCTATAAGTAAGTATTTTTTTCGTTGAAAAGACTCTGTAGCGTAATTAGCTGGGATCAGTCCAACGCTAACCGTGCCATCGAGAGGAAGTGGATTACCAGAGTGAAGTGTGTTGAAACTACTGCGGAAACCAAATCGAACCCGAGTCGAATTGATCCTAGGCTTATCACGTATACGCCCGGTAACACAGCCGAATATTCAAACATGTCGCTGAGAATGAGCTTTTTGGGCTGCCTGCTGGTGGCCAGCACAATCCTAGTGCTGCAAGTACAGGCAAATGTCGAGACAAACGAAGTGGACCAACCCGATACGTACAGTAAGTGGGCGATCTGAATCTGTATGTGGATCTGCACCTGGTATAGCTAATCCACCCCTTAAATTCGTAGTGCTGCAGGGCGTGCATGTGTATCCCAATGATCGGCAGTGCGTTCTGGTGGGCGGACTGTGTGTGAAGACGGACGACTGCATCGAGCCCACCTCGAACAAAGGATTGTGTCCCTCGAGTGCCGGACTTGGCGTGGAGTGCTGCTATGAACGTGAGTAGATTGCTAGCTATTTGCTGTGTGCGTCATCCGGCTTAAAACCCCCACCCAAAATAAAAACACGAAAACCCATCAGTCCGATCACGCTCGCATTCTTTGCATCCCTAAAAGAACCTAACCCACTAATTTCCAAACCCCACAACCCCCCTCCCACCAATTGGCATCGCTGTACCCCCGAAAATCGCTACTAACCCGAAAAATCCCGATCCATTTCTTGTGTCTCGCCGCCCTCAAAAACGTCAAACGTCATCCCGTTGCCGTTGCAGTGCCGGTTAGACCAGCGCCCTGCGCGGAACACTTGGGACAGTGCATGGACCGATGCCACCAGAGGCTCCTGCGACCCGGCACCGATTGCGAGAATGGCCAAGTCTGCTGTGTCCTGATTTAGTTATACTTAACCACACAACACACATACCCATGCTGAGAGAAAGCATCGCCAAATTGTTCATGATTCATAGAAAAATAGCCTCCATTTTGGCCCAATCACCATGACATTTCACATACCATAAGGGTATAAGTCAGGGTTGTGTAAATTTACTTTTACTGTCAAATGGTTTTTTGCCAAAATTTCTTCTTGCAATCATTTTTATTTATTTTTTTAACTTAATTCGATTGTAATTTTACACTTATACGCTTTTAAGAGTATTTCATTTTATTAAGAAATCCCATTTTAGGAAAAAATATTTTTGAATTGAGCCTAGTGTTTTTTTGTCAATTTAATTATGCTTGAAATTAAAATTAATCGCAAAAACTAATATGAAGCAGTTTGGAACTAATATGGTTATGTGTTTTCTCAGTATACACACAAAAACACCCACACACACCGTACATAAACATGTATTTATTAAACTATATGTATATTAATTATATTGTACGAATACTTTTGTATGACATCTTAAGAACCCCCCAAATCTCCCGACAAAGTGAAATATTTGACTGCTTCCAATAAATGCATTGTAAATATTTTCCAAACCATTATCTACTCACTCAAGCAGCCGCGAATCGAAAGGTTATGTAAGTATGGGTATGGGGATGGGTCAGCTTGTCCGATCTCCTTATCATCGGGGAGTTATGCTATACCGTCACGTGCCCCAAAGTACAGTTGTGTGATCGCAAGAGGCAGAAAAGCAACAAATCCAGATAAGATTGAATCATCAGCAAATTAAACGGGAATCAAAGATGAGAGAGAATGGGTCACAAGCTGGAAACTGAAAACAAAAGCTTATCTCTTCCCGAAGATTCAATGTCAAGTTCGGATCCCATTAAAATCAATTTGTTCTTTGGGCCGCATTCGTATGTAGTTGAGAATATTTTCTAAACAGTGCTAGGCAAAAATAAACGACCTTGCCAAGCATCGCAAAGATATATCTTACACGTCCATATGGCGCGCATGCCTTGTTTTTCTGTACTCCCCGATATTTGTTTGTATCTTTCGGTTATGCGTGATTTCATTGCTAATGTTTGGACGCCTATTCCATTCAGTTATTTATAGTTGGGTGGTCGACGGGGTCACTTCAGTTTAGATTGTTTTGGCCAGTGCTCTTGAGTTGAATGAATTCGTATGCAAGGCGGCATTGAGGCGCCAGCGTGTGCCTATATTGCCAGAGAGTAGTGTGGAATGTGTGTCTATTTTCTCTGTTCCAGAAAACGCTTTTCATGAATGGGAATAGGTCTAGAGGAAAATGTGAAAAATAAACTGTTTTATGGTTATATTAAATTGCATTTCGTGTATTGTTTTAAAATTATCAAATATTGATATGAATATTGTTATTATGTTTACATTCCCTTAAGCACAAATAAAATATGCGATTTTGCTTGTAATTGCAAAATCTAGTAGAAAACCTTTTGTGTATGCTATTATATTAATGGCCTATATAAATAAAAACAAATATACATACACATTGACATCAAACGATTTAAGATTCCAGAAACTTCGGAAGTGTTCTTTGTTTAGAAAGCTATTGAAACTCATGATTTTTTGAAAACAATGATATGCATTCTCTGTCTAGAAGGCAAAAAGAGGGTTTTAATAATTAAAATTGGGAAAAATACCAATATTAAAAGAATCCTAAATATTTTTTAAAAGTCATGAGCATTGAGATCAGTGCAAACTAAGAACCTGACCTTGCTTTTGAGGGGATTGCATCACTCTCGCTGCAACGAATTCATTGTCATGGCACTTAACCCACCAATGCCAATGACAGTGAAAACTACGGCCTTGTCGGGACACCATATTCGCGATCTATATCAACATATAGAGCGAATTCAAGACGTGTGCATTCCGGCCGGAGTGTACTAAGTATACACATATGCCGTACAATTGAGCAAATCAGTGTGTATCAAATCACAGTACTGCGCCTTAGATTGCATAAGTTGTGCAGTAATGGCGAGAAATCGCTGGCGATTGAACCCGAACCCGAACTCGAACCCAAACCGAAGTGAACCGAGCTTGTCGTAATATTTTCTGTTAAGTTGTTTTATGTATATATTAGTTTTTGTTTTTTAGGTAAGTGCGAGCGTTTCGTGATGGGACGGGGCTTATCAGGACGGGCCATCATCATCGTCGGGCGGCATGTCATATAATAAATTATTTATGTGGGGTTTTTTTAATTCGTTATTCGCTTCTATTTGTTTACGTTTTCGATTTCGTTTTTGCCAGCTAATCCCGATTTTTGCGTTTATTTGTGTCGCATTTGCACCAAACAGAAACTAATAAAACTTTGTGTGCGGCTTTTCGTGGGAAGGGGGGAATGGGTGTCATTTGGGGGGCTTGGGATAAGGCTCAGATACGCTCATATTTCATGTCATAGTTCGCACTCATTTTTCACTTGACATAAAACTGCGTTGGCGTTTGCGTCTCATATCCTGGGGCCAGTGCAACGCAATTTGCATCTCCATGTCCCCTCACGCCGCACCTCTCCTTCGTCCTTTGCCTTTTTATATTTTGCCCTTTTTTTTAATTTTTATTTTCGCATGTGGCTGGGAGTGTGGAGAGTATAAAAGAAAATGATTTTGTGGCATAAATTAACGCCAAGAGGCACACGGAACACTATTAAAAAATACGGATCCGCCAGAGCACACATGCCGACCCGTCCTCATCCTGCCTTCCTGGTTGGTTGGTTGTTTGGTTGGATGGTTGGCTGGTTGGTTGGTTGGATGGCTTCGTCCTGGCCAAAAGGATGTGGCAAGTCATTGGCTTATGGGAAAGCCAAAGAATTCACTTCATGGCCGCGTACTGTGATGGGGACGGTGGAGCTCCTCATGCAATTAATCCTTTTTTACCCTGGCTCGCAGCTCATCCTTTGCCAGCAAAATGACTTTTTAAGTTAATTTCTTATGCGCTGAGAATCTTCATCGGGCACCTCTTTTAAACTGCATACGGTGGCTTTTCATACCTACTTAATTTTCAACTCCAACTGCACTGCCAAAATAATCCGTCATTCAAAATGGCTAAAGCAATGCCATTTCATTGTGATGGCTTTTGGAGCAGCTGTTAGCCATGAATTTCAATTATTTGCTTAGCTTTTTTAACAAGTATCCAAACTCTTTTTTTTGCCAGGATCAACAGGTTAAGCTCTGCGTTGTTTGCTGCCAAATATTTGGGTTAGGTAAATCCGATTTAATGGTCCGCACAATGTCAACATGACATAACAATTTTCCTTCTCCGCACACAAACAGTGCTTTCGAAAAGTATATGGAACATATGAACATTAATTAATTATCATAACTTATATAAGCAGAAAGATGTGACATCCAGATGATAACACGTGTCTCTTAAAACTATTATTTAATACTTAGTTGTACTAATATTATTATTTAAGGATTATTAATTGAACTAATAGAATTGTCAGAATTTTATAAATTGATTGCATTGATTTCTAAAAAAATAAATATTATTATTAGTAAATTGCCTATAATTAAATTCTCTTTAATGATTTAAAAGTCAAATAACTTTTGAAACGAACTTTGTCTCGGTCCTTCCTTTGTGGCCTCACAACTGCTTTACGAATTTGAAATTTGGATGCAAATTGATGTGAATGCAAATTGATGTGCAAATGGCATAAAATGAAATTACTCAAAATCCTTTGACAAATATGACAGAGTGGGTGGGTAGCCACTTTCACCCGCTTTCCACCTGGGCCATATCCCCCTTTTTTGGATAATGCCATTAAAAGCGAGCAAATGAAAGTGAAAATGAAAATGTTTCCACAAGCCAGGGAGGCAATGGTTTTTGCGGCGCTGTCAATTCACCTTTTGAAGTACCCAAGATATACAGCATATTCATGCGTACATAGGTTGATGAGATGAGAAAAGATGAGATGAGATGGTGATGTATTACCCCTCGTCAAATTCCCGTACAATTAGCAACAAATTTTGGTTGGTTGTGTTGTAGCCACACCAAAGTGCTGACCCCCCGAGGCAGAATCTTTATTTTTTTTCGTTAACGGGATTAACCGCAATTTCTTTAATTAAAATTTCCATTACTCCCGTTGCCGGGATGGAGTTTCTAAGCTGGCAAAAGAAAAAAAAAGGATTGTAAATTACGCTGTCAGTCAGTCACTCAGTCTGTCAACAACAATTAAAACGGGAAGCAACAGCAACAAATTAAAAATTCATCTTCCGCATATCCCATGAATTCAGTCATGTCTTACATCTTTTCCCCACTCCCCTCCTGATGGCATTCGCATCCTATCCTGGGGTTACTCTTGATGTGGTCCTTTTTTTAATTTGATTGGCACGGCGTTTCCGGTTTTTCTTTACTTACCACCTTGCTCCTTGATTAGCCCACTGAGAAATACGGAAAGGGGTTGGCTTGGGGTGGGTTAATGATTTTTTTATTTGCGTATATTTGTTCAATTCCGACAAGGGCTGAGTATCCTTTTTTTTTTTTGCCGAATGCCTCATTTTTAATTGAAACCTAATTTTCTGGACTTTCCTCATTATTTGGGGAATAAAAAAAAATTAGCCCCCTGGTGAGCAAAGTTTTTCTTCTATCCAAAAAGGATCTTCCTGGCTTTATGGCATATCATATCATCGCTGAGTTTATTTCAAACATTTCGAGCTTCAACTCTTGCAACTTTTTGACTTTTGTTGTGTGCAAATAATTTGCAGCTCGTTCGCTGGCGTCATTAACAATGTAGAGGGAAATGGCAGAAAGTTTTATCTAATTAATGAAACTTCAACGCAACGTCAAGCAGTCAGAACTCTTTGCTTTCGAGGAGCCCCCGAAACGCTTGGAATCCCGCCTTGATGTCGTATTGTTGACAGTGACGATACTGCTCGGGATAGGTGGTGGTTGGGGCGGGTACAACGTGGCGTATGATTGCTTTTGTGTAAACAACCGCCGCGTGGCCATACGTACGAATAGATGTATATACATATATATATATATATATATCTATCTCGCATTTTTCCTTTTCATTTTCCCATCTTTTCTGCTTCTTTATCCGTCAAAAGTTTTTTAATTAGCAACGAAAAGTAAAGGGTTAAATATCGCGTCAAAAAGTTTCGGCAAGCTAACAATTAAGTTTCGGCAATGCCGCTGACACGCCCCCCGTCCAAACCCGCTAAAAGGGGCGGAGGCGCGAGTGCAGATAATAAGTATTAAGCAACACTTACTCGCAATTAAGTTCTGCTCCTGCCAACGCCGCGTCCTTCTTTGTTGACTTTTTTCCGGGCTGTAATTACGCGTAATCGCAAAATTAATTCCTGCACATGACTGCACCGCTCGACGGACAGGAGAGGCGGAGGCATCCTTTCTGCGAAAACAGGATGGGGACCGAAGATTCCCGGCACGAGGATTCCGCTCTGGCAATAACCCGCAGCCAAAACCAGGATGGGAATGCACTAAGAATCAAACGGCAGATAAAACTCTGTAATATTCATGAGATTTGTTTTATGATGTGCTAACAATGCGTAAATGTACAAGTACAATAGCCACAACATGGAGCTTCAAGTTAAGTGGAACACCT